CGCGGAGAAATACCTAACAATGGAGAAGGCGCGAACAATGAACTGAATGGACTGGAGTTGATCGAGTGGCATGGCTCGACCATGCAGGTGTGGTCTCTGCTGAATGTTACCTTATATCTTCTATTCATATTAACTATATTGTTCTTTCTCTAGCCTAACCTTGTTCTACAGCATGTATTGGTAATTGATACGATACAGTGAGTTGGCGTAGTCGATGGTGTGACTTCCACGTAAGATCTTATAGATTAGGCAGTTATATCATGACGAATCTACAAAATTTAGGATTAGGTCTATTATTAGAGCAGTACTAATATCATAGTAGACCATAGTTCTACATGTGTGTACACTCTCTGTTTTCCTATATACCGTGAGATTATTTTATGCCGTTCTTTCTACCAACCATTTCTTTCTCCCTGTATCATATCCTTATATGCACTCTTTCTTTGATTTATTACTTCCATTGCGGTAAATGCTTCTATGGATTTGGTGTTCATCTTGTTGTGCTAATGAGATATGTCAACTTAGACCGATGCACATATGTGCCTAAACCTACGTTATGGCTGGGTGATACAAGTCTCACCTCGTCTGACAACACCTTTAAGTTTATCTTTTAATTCACTGATGAGCCCGAAGTAATATTCTGTGTCACTGTTGAAATGCTAAGTTGAAAGTATGGATCTGAGATTTGCAAATATATTACGACATCTTGCAAACGCAGTATATAAACAGCTCTGGAGAGTCGCAAAATTAGTCTATTGCATAACCTGTAACCGATAGATGCATAATTTTTCGTGATCAATCATGAAGTTATATGTACTCGTTTTTAAGTTTATCAGTCTGTATAGACTGACATTTATGCGCTCTTCCAAAAGAACATGAAAATGGGGTAGATGCTGTTAACATAACCATAAGGTAATTGCAACACACGTGGCCGTTTGGTATGGGTGTTATCTTGACAACTACAGCCTTATAACTATGATTTACTTCACAGTAGAAACTGTCTAAGCTAAGTATACTCGGTTTTATATAGATGTTTTATTGTGCATATCATCACGCTGACTACTTTCACCACTGTCATTACTTGTCTGAGACCTCCGAGGAGAGCGACCTAGGTCATTTGATCATGGGAAGCTTATAGTATTCTAATTATAGTATGAACTAGGAATTCCAGGATTAACGCAATTGAACTAAGAAGACACAGACACAACGAATGTACTGTATTTAGAATTCGAAATCAAACATTCAACCAGTACAAAGGTATCATTAGTCCATTCAAACACCACATCCGCCACAGCTTAAATAGAAGTATAAGTGTTTGTAATCGGTTGTACGTCTTCTTGTTAAGTTCATTCTGAGTCTGTCCGACATTGTGTAAGATAAAAACTTTGTAGTATCTGGAATTGTATACAACCAGCATGTCGGTTTTGTAATGAAATCATTAATATCTAGAATTCGAACCATAGGTTTTTCAACACTATCCTCCCCCACGAAATAATGTTGGATCTTTATATCCCCAGGTTATGAATAATGTGGCTTCATTTAAAACATATTTCTCACAATGTTTAGAGTAAACATTAGAACTGTTTTTGCGATAAGGGTAAACAGCAGTTGATATGAAATCATCCGAAATGTAATCAAACTTGAGGTCACTTAGTACTCGTGCTTCGCATTGAGCAGGTTTTTCACAAGGATCGAATGCATTATGAGGATAGGTAATATATGATACGACATCAGGATTTGATTCTTCTGAAATATTCTCATGAAATTCATTAGGACTGTCATTGCAGAGCGTAGGATCGTTAGAAAGACCAGCATCTATCCTAACCACATCAGGTTTTCGATCATGATTACATTCATTTAACATATTTTCCTCAGAATTGCAAGTAATTTCATTAGAAATATGTGAATCATTAGGAAAAGTCATACCTGGTACCATAGCATGAGAATTCTGATAAATCGGTTGATTAGGAACTGTTGCCTCACAAGAATTCTGGATTTCATATAACTCTGAACTGTCATATGACTCTGCACTGTCTTTTGAAATCGTTGATAAAGATAAATGATCATTAGAAACAGCCGAATTATTGAAATTTAAATTACAAGATTTAGTACAGCTTGAAGCAAAATGGACAGTAGCTTTGCATACTGACTGAATGTGTCCTACCTTACCACATTTAAAACATTTAGCATTACGAAATACACATGAATTGCGAGCATGAAACTTTCCACATGATAAACATTTACCAAACTTCATCTCACCTTTGTGATTTGCTTTGTAATTCCTTGTTGAAACACCTTTCATATTTACACGAGAATAGGAATCACTGTTAAATGAACGCAAATTTGATTGACCCTGAGATTGTAGTTCATCACGACGACTAAGCAAAGTATTAGAAATGTTCATCGACTGGATATCAAGTTCATTGACTGCTTCGTAGTTAATACATGCAGTTCTAGCATCTTGAAAGGAACAGTTTGGCATTTTTAACAGCTCTCTTTCCAAACTCGGCATATTAATTCCTGCAATTAATCGATCTCTCAGTTGCACATGAAGTTGATCACCGAAATTACACTTGGCGGCTTGTTTCTGTAATTCAAGGATGAATTCCCGAGCCTTTTGGTCATTTTGACGGATCATCTTATGAAACTTTGCCCTTTCACGGCATTCAAAACGGGTGCATTTTACATGACTTAATAATAGCTCTTTAAGAGTTTCATAAGGGAGTGAGATAGGTTTTTCTGGATATGCCAGAGTTTTTAATAAGCTGTACGCTTCTCTCCCAATGAATGTGAGAAAGTGTGCCACAATATTAACATCCTCATCATCTTCTTTTGTCATGCTCCAAATTTCGAACCTTTCCAAATAATCCTCAATATCTTCAGGAGTTGAATGAATATCCAACTTTTCCATTGCAGGTTCCATCACGACGCCAATATAATATTCTAATTATAGTATGAACTAGGAATTCCAGGATTAACGCAATTGAACTAAGAAGACACAGACACAACGAATGTACTGTATTTAGAATTCGAAATCAAACATTCAACCAGTACAAAGGTATCATTAGTCCATTCAAACACCACAGAAGCTGCAACATTAGCACCAACCGTCCAGGGTAAAAAGCCGCTTTCCTATACATTCAAAAGTAACCAGGTTTGTCGACTCATGGAATCCTTACCATCCAAGAACTGCACCTAGCCACATTTTGAAACCCATGATGCTGTCTCAGTGGCTTCTTTTTTATAGGGGTGATGAGTCTCCCTGAACAAGTACAGGGGCTTGCAACAAAGTGGGTCTTAAGTCAAAGGGTCAGATATAATGAGTACAATCATCACTTGATTTTGCACTGACTGGGTAACAGGGGACTAAGCGTGAACTAATCATAATCTAAAACTTCCTAGCCGCTTTAGTCCCCTCCCAATAAACGTGTCCCATTCAAACCTTAACACGTTACTTCACGAGAAGACCTACGACGAATTGCATATCGAAGAGCTGTCACGAAGGCAACACCGCATATCTCACTGCGGGTCTCCTTTATCTGGAACGCTTTCCAGAACTATATGATCACAACGCTGTCCTTGATAATTAGGGTGGGAGACTAGGTAACTTGTAGGGCCCTTTATTTTGCCGCCATTTAGATTGGACGACGTTGTCGAAGGGCTCCTCGCTTTGGTGGCTCGGGGTCAGACTTCAATTTGATCACGTGAATGATTGTTATTGTACTGTATATGTTGCCTAACCTCGTATGTCTGTATCGACTTAATCCACGTTCAGAGAATAACGGAATTAAGTAAGTTAAATAACGAGAATGGACTTTTGAATACATATATTTTGTATATGAAGCGAGTAGAATAGAGAGAAGCGAAACGACGCGCGGTGGAGACGGGGGGGGGGTAAGCCAACTCCCATTTAACCAAGCGTTAGTCAATATTTATAGTGACACGAAAGTAAGTTACAGACATGTGATAAGAAGTGTACACACACCTACGCGCTCATATAAAAACAGTCAACATTGGTAAACGAATAATTAACAAGGTTAGAATGTGTCTAAATTAGGAAGAATAGATTGAGCTGTCCGAAAGCTAGAATAAGTATATGGGCTTATCATAATAACCGACACTACAAACTAAGTACGTACACATGGTTTATTATCTTTCACATGCACTACCTGTTCATCACTCACTTGCACTGGGAAATTTGCTCTTTATGTATTGCTGCACTAGCATCATATACCACAGCTTATCTGTTCTCTTTGTTCATTATTGTAAGAATCACACTAGATGACCTTATCTCTTATCATCTCCATTCGTTTGATATTTTCATATATTTTAATAATTTATATTCCCACCTAATTATTAAGTTAATAGATTGATCAATTTATTCGCCTCCTCCACTGCCTCCTCACTGCTTATTTTTGTTGAAAGTTTCAAATCTTGGATACTGCGACCAGTCAGTCGACCGACTTTTAACATGATAGCTGGTAATTTAGGTTATCGAGAACAAACTCATTTATACTGGAAATTCCTTAACAGGCAACTTCACTAGGATTTGTACAGCCGGTAAGTCATACCGCCCAAACTGAAAGACACCAGCAGACTTGAACTGTAACTTAACATCAGGAGACGAATACAAAGAAATCAATCAGTTTATATTAACTCGACACAAAGATATGGGATATCGAACAAACGACTAGAATATCAAAACAATTTATATAATCATTGTTGATGGAAGTCTCTAGAGAAGAACTAAGTCCTCTTGTGACTGCATGCTATGGGGATTAATTCACATCAAACGACTATTTTTCATCACAAAAATCTAAAGTTTGGGAATCTAATGTTTGAAAGAAACCTGTTGTAAATAGTCAAAGTTTGTAATTATACACACTAAACAACTCTTGAGAAACTAAATATCTCGAATAATTGTCTAAGTTTCCTCAAATAGATAAAATGATATCTGAATATGGTTTGAAGGACATCAACCGTCCTTGGGCATCTTTCCCGTTTGATTTTTGTGCGTGTTGATACAAATCCTATTGACCTTTTTCTGGGTTTGTTCATTCATTTCTTCAGCCCGTCAAATTGTGACGGTAATAGTTCATCATACTTCATGACTGTTTGTCTGGAAATCATCTGAACTCCGTAAGTAGTTCACAGTAAATTTTTTTTCTGCTTATTTTCTGTTAACTCCTTCAGCACAACTATAGTTTTGTCTTATGTTTTGTGGAAACTTATGGCTCTTCATATGTTGCTTAAAAAGGGTGTGTTTGCGGAGGCTAAATATGAGCTCACCAAGTAGCTGTAATAGATCTAGTAGTGCCCCCAAATGCCCGGGTACGGCCGAGAGGGGGGAGAGTCCGCTCTCCCTATCGAAGTGCTCTCACATGGCCACGCGTATATAGCCTGTGCCAGGGAAGTCCTACTCACTGCCTCGTGGCATTACTGTTGTTTACGAAATTGAGAGGACGAAAAGCGAATGTCCGGCGCTTTAACCGGATTCCAAATCAATGGTGCACATGGGCTCCAGTATCCTGCGGGAACAGATGGCGTATGAACCAATTGTTGGTCACCAGCTACCACGAGACTGCGTCTCCTTACGATGCCCCACTGCCTTGTGGATCAGACCTTCAGGGAGTGGCCCCCTAAGAAAACCACCTGCTTCGGTTTGGGCACCCGGGCAGTATTACAGCCCTCACACATATCGAATGAGATTTGTGTGGCACATATGTATTTATTGCCTCCTTGTACCTGAGTTTACAACAACGTTAATATGCTCTTAGGACTCACTGATTCAATTCGATCCACAGCCTAACATATTCACTAGTTCTGTTTTTAAGTTATTAATACTGCGCTAGTGTCGCTCATCCTAGACCGGGTGTTATTTGGATGGAGAAAATTACGTATAAATTTCACCAGATTATGAATTATATATTGCATGGGACGACAAGAAGTCCCTGATCTGTTACTTATGTAGATGTAAAGATATATAAAATATATTTATAATTAACATACTGATTAAAATCCGGCACCAGCGAATGTATCCACAGATCAACTGGTTCTTGTTGCTAAACCAATTCCCCAAATGAGGAACGAAATAACTCACCTAAAAAGTTGGTTGAGACAGGGTAGTTACAGCTGTAAAAAAGCAGCATTTAAATTGTATCACATACATCATAGTTCTAACTAAGTCCTTCAAGCTTGGGTGTGTTTCAGAACGAAAGGTATCAGTAGTGTTCACTTGGGCTCTGTCACTGGAATTTCTAACGCCCTTTTAATAGTTAAAATTCTGTTTATTCGTTTTCATAGACAGCCTTTACTCATTGTGATAAGTCGCCAGATAATGGAAGCTCCATTATGTTAAGTTTTTATCTCATTAACTGTATCTGACTTTTCGTCAAAACTCATGTGTTTGAGTGGACAATTTTTGAAAGTAGTTGTGCACAAATCACTCAATCTACTTGTTACAACAATTCAGTGGTTACTGTCCTCTTAATATAATTGGAACTACAGCTCAGTAGCTAAACCAGTGAACCATCACTTGACTGGTGATATGGTCGAGCCCCTCCACTTCGGTTTGTTAACAGTATTTATTGGTGTTTGTTAGTAGTGGTTGTGATAGCAGAACCCCTGTAAAAAAGTGTGGTTCAATCACTCATATTCAGTGTAGAGCCTGGTACAGATGCACGTTGGGTCAATTTGTGGTAACATGTTAACACAAGATGAACGTAACCAGACGAATTGCAAGAGGCAGGGGTAATGCAGTGGCTGTGATAGTAGAAAAGACTGAATATTGAGAATACTGTTCGATAAGACAAAGTGGAGAGGTTTGTATAAACAAATACTGAAATGCAGGCTCTAACGTGGTATACGAAATGAACACACCTTTTCTGTTGTGATCGATTGTGAACCATGTTACGAATATTGTCCAAAAAGAATAAATCAAGTCGAGGAATAGGAGGTATAAAGTAAGGGTAAAACGTAAGGTCAAGTGAAAGACAAATAATTTTTGTACGCCACTACAGCTCACTTTGGCCCATGTCACCTAACGTTTCCAGGAAGTCTGGACCTCGTACCACAATTCTGATCGGCGGTCATTAACTCCATGCTAATATTTATGGGGGTTTGTGGTGTGGTTGTCTAGTGGTCACAGCACTTGACTTTCGGGCGCTCCCAGGTTCGAACTGCGCTCCACCTACTTCGGTTTGGGCAACTGGCTAGTATCACTATCCCTCACATTTAGTGTGGTTCATGTGCAAGTACCGGGTAATCAGTTAACTTTTTCTAATGATAATGATTATATATATATATATATATATATAACGTTTACTTGTTAATGAAGATCGACTATGTTGTCATTAGCGTGTCACTTTCTGTTTTATTTTTGTTTTCTAAGCGATGTCTGAGGAATCTGAAACAAATGAAAGATATATGTCATACTCTCCAGAGGATAATTATCCTACAACCTCTAACAGTAATTCGGATGGTATGTTAGTCCTATGTACTATTATCTTACCTCACCTTTTTGCTTTATTTTACTCAATAATATTGAGTTCGGAGCTTCGGAACGAAAACAGTAGGCCATGTTTAGATTTACTGTTATTAATAGGAACATTTTGCATATTGGATCGTTGCTGCTAGTTGTTAATAGAAAGTTTTGCTTAACTTAGACTGTAAGTGTTTAAATACTCTTTTGTAAACTATTTTTTGGTACTTGAGGAAGCTGACATCTGACCAAGTAGCTGAATACGCATTATTCATTGAATTCCTTTGTCTGTTGACTGCCTTCTGTAAGACTGAAGTTTAGTTACTGAAAAGCAACTTGTTTCATATTGTCTACATTTTCCTTCCGACGGGATTTATTTGATAATTAAGTTTGGTGATTCAAATCTCTCAATCTACTAACCTTCCATTCATATTTCATAAAATGCAATCAATTTTTTGAACACCTATAAACAAAAGCAGACGAAACAAAATAGGAACTGCGTTAAATTTATACATAAAACTCTCTGAGTAGGCATATTTTTTATTGGTTCACTGTGAGAAAATCAATAACATTGGAAGTACAAGACTAATATGAGTGAAGGCAACTGTAGTGTGTGACAGAAGCAATAAAAACCGAAAGAAAATAAGTAAAGATAAATTGACGGTTGATATAGATTAGTATAGTGTTACGAATACAGCAACAACTTTCGAAACATTACTTGCTGACCCCGTCGAGAAATCCTGCACCTTCTTATTGCCACTGAAATCAATGTCATATTTCAGACACAAATCACATACCTCAACTAACTAATATTAAAAACACAATGGACGAACACAGAACTAAGTGCTGTGACGCCGGGAAATGATCAGTAGTCGATCAAGAAGGGGGAGAAGTAAACACAAGGAGGGCTCCATAGTTTTGTCACGCTAATGTGAAGTCGTTGTTAAAGACAATTCTTATCATTAGTCAGACAACGATAAAAATTCGTGGAGTGTTGATACTCATTTTTCTTATTCTGTAACCCTTCAAATACACAGTGTGAATTCATGCATGGTAATTGTCCTATGAAGATATTTTAGCAAACTGATTCGATTTCAACTTCATTCAGTGTAGTACAAACTACCAATTATCTTCCATCTGTCTATCGAGTGGTTATTGATAAGTTTAATTGATAGATCACATGACAGCGTGAAACATCTCCACATGTGTTAAGTTGATGTTTGGTTATGAGATTGGTTGTCTTTCAAATTGTTGGGAACTTCGTCTAGTTAGTGGTGAGCATTAGCTCATTCTGATAAACGTACCGATCAAAGTATTATCTCTGTAGTTTCCTAATAATTAGCAGTCAATGAGTGAGGTTCTGTTGTGTCATTTTAAACATGATCTTCAAAAGTTAGTAACTGTTCATCAATTGACTTTTCTCGATCAACAGCTTGTGTGACAAAAGTAATCTTCAGGCTGTACAAATTTCTCCATAAAATGCAGTTTGCGGTAACCGTTTACATCCAATCGGGCAACTTGCTGCGAAATAGATTTCCCGAAGTTTCCTATGGGACACCGTAACTGATAACGTCAACCAAGGGCACCAGTCACTTAAGGTTTCGGTTTATATTACTAATTGCTTAATTCAAAAGTCTAGACCATTGTGTTTCGCCTCACTATGAGACTTACAGTTCTGTAATTGATCTTGCATGATATTTTGTATGTGGACAATCCTGCGGAGTTTTAGGCTGAGATGAAATAGCTGTCCAATGCCCCTTTGATTTTATTGGTTCTTCAGTAGACGTTAGTGGTAATTTCTTGCCAAATATCATTTTCACACTCTTTACATTATCAAAGATTTAATATAAATTGAACTTTACGCCAAAATTAAATAATGAATTTGCAAGCTGTTTACATAGTTAAGGAGTTTTTCTTCATTTATGATAATAACAAAGTTTCTACTGGATACTGTTCAGCTGGAAATATTGATTAAATATTATTGACTTGTTTTTTTATGTCGGTGTAATTTATTAATTTCTTTTTCACAATATTGTAGACCACACAAATCATCCTGATGAGATTTCATATAAAGTTGAAACGTCCAGTTCATCACCTCTTGGTAGTTTTACAAATGTCACACGTGAGCTTCCAAAACCTCGTAAACAACGAGTACCAAATAGTGCAATGGATGAAGCTACTTTGATTGGTAGGATCCTAAAATACCTCTCCATTTACAAGTATTTTATTATTTGTTATGTTGCAAAATCGGTATATTCATGAGCTAAGCTACTATTTCCTAACTCTTACTTCAATATGTTGAACGAGACTATTACTATCCTCCTCTTTCCTGCTTCGCTAGTTATAGTAAGAAGTCAAGTTTAGAAGCTTCATTAATCAAGATCCAGTAGAATTTAAAATATATTTACGATAATTATATATAGATGACAATGATTATGATTTAGTAACCGAGTAATCGTGAATAAACACAAATCACAGAGAAAAAACCCATTGAAATTCCACGAACAGAATTCATGCTGAATAGATTTATCTCTAATCGATATTGATTTTCTTCCTTCTAATTTCTAGTCGGCAATTCCACATCCTTAACAAATATGTATATATCTGTGAGTATATTGTTCTTTGAGTGTATTCAGTTTAAATACTAAATCGACTACTATGTGGATTTCTTGAGGTGGGTTTTAAAAATCAACCAAGATTGCTAGTCATTTTGTATAAAAGTGATACGAAAGAACTCAGTTATTCACTCACTAACTTTTATTTTAAGTACTTTTTCCTATGTGGATTTATATAATTATCTGTTAATCTAGTTATATATTTGTGTTATGTAGTCGATAGTTATAATGAAAGCCAAAGTTGGGTAATTCACTTAATTTTTATTTAATAGTCAACTCTCATTTATTTGCAAATATGTAAAAGTAATAAGAAGAGTTGAAGCACGAAAAGTTAGATTAACTCTAATTAATCCCATGCTAATCTGAATGGGGCATGAAAAATAATAGTCACAGTGGTCGCTAAGATAACATGTGGATTCGACTTTTTTCTGCCCAATTTGCCGTACTTCATTTAAGGATAGCCAGAGCGGAGACTACGAAGATAAAAAAAGGCAATAGAAGTTAAAGATAATGCCAAACGCAATAAAAAAAAGTCAACCATCCGAAACATAATTTAAGAGAAACGAATGAGATCAAAAAATGAAAAGTGTAGAACTACACTAAAGGTTTAGAGGAAGACAGCTGATGAGTACAATTACTCTACTGGAATGGATTTTAGCTCTAGTAATTCAGGGTCGTACTCAGTGGTAGATTACGAGTCCCAATATGGAAGTCTGGGTATATCAGGACGCTAGTGAGACTTGAAACCAGTGGCCTAATAAAATTACTGACTGTCGGACTAAGCTGTGCAGACTACCTAGTTGAGATTTGCGTGACTTGTAGGTAATGGTTAAAGAAGTTGGGTAATATGACTCAGAATCGATCACAATAGCACAGACGCATTCACAATTTGTCTCCGCCTAGATCTTGTGTTTAAAAATAATCTTGAACTTCCTGTCCCGGATATTCATGTTTCTCGATTCATATTTTCCGTCTTATCTTCTCTACTTTACTGATATTATTAACACTTTTACTACTCCTGTGTTCTTCTCATTAATTTAATCTCATCGTGCTGATATGGTGTGATAATTTGAACTGACGTACGTATGTGCCAAGTTCTACATTGATTATGATTAACTGACTATGGAATTTCATATTATAAGTGAAATTTACTGTTTTCACGTACATATGATTCCCTTCTCTAATGATAATAATTATTTAATCGTTCATTTGTACTCATTATTTCATATTTCAGCTCTTAGACCATTCAAATGTGATGAATGTGGTAAACGATTGGAAAAGGCTCGAACATTAAGACTACATAAACTATCAGTACATGAAGGTAAGTTGAAAAGAAGGATTTTCAAAAATTCGATACACTGACCTTCTTTTCTGAATAAATAGGTCTAAAAGTTGTGTTGGAAAGTATAGTGTAGTAAATTATCTTCAAGATAATGACTTACGAAACAAATCTCAACTTTCTATGAATTTCAGAAGACGATATAAAGCGTCGATCACAGTTTGTTGTTTAACAGCGCAGATCATTAAGCCCGAAACACACAAAGTGAAGTCGAGCATAAATGTGAGTGCGAGTGAGCAAGCAAGTATAGGGGCGAACTAATGAGTCGAATCGATAAGACTCAAGCACGTATACATAGGATGGTGAATGATTCATCGATCTATTTGAGCCAGTAAGATGGATATGTACGTAGTCTGTAACACGTGGTCAAGCTCTGTGGTCGGTCTCCTAGGTAGACGAAACTATTGATAATCCAGTTTCTGCACCAAGCACCTCAAGAACGGGTGTTCTTCCACGGTGTGTGGAGACTGAGTGTCAGGTGTCAACATATTTCCAACACCGCTTGACTGTACTTGCTAAAAACGACGTTAATTTTATTTCGCCCTTGGTTAGGAATGTAATTGTCTATTTTCCTAGTTTTAAACAAATCATAACCTGACAATGTCACCGGTAGACCCCAATCCCTATCTATGACATAGCTGGGCTTACTAGTCGCTTTTTCATCTAGAACCTTTGGAAATCTATTCTAAGTAGGGATTCATAAATAATCATTCACTTGATAATAAATACATCTTTTTGTTATATCCCAATGAGTAGAAAAACTGTATTTCTGACGTTTCGTGACTTAAGGTAAGTAAATAAATGACCAAATTAAATTAAATTGTGTTAATTTAATTCGGCTATTTATTTATTCTGAAGAAGTGGGTTACATTAAGTCACGAAACATCAGAAATACAGTTTTTCTGCTCATTGGGATAGAACAGAAAAATATATTTATTATTAACTTTCTACATAATGCTCAATTTATTTGAAACTATCAAGAACTCTTAAGAAGTGAACAATTCAGAATACCCGTTTTGTACCATTTCAAAGTTATGTACAGCGTAGAGCCTAATACTTGTGCATCGAGTCAAGTAACACCGCTTTAAAGCTGTTCATTTGTAAACAAACGTCAATCCGATTAGATGTATTCGCATTTTATTTATCTCGAAAGGTCTCGTAATCTGTTTCATCTCTTTCGAGACTCGACCTTTGATGTAATGCTAAAAGAGTAAAAAGTTTTGTCTTCTGATACGAAGTACGATAATACTAGATTGAGTGATAGACTGGGCAAACTAGATCACATCATACGCTGGTAAGCAACTCCGTCTAACGGTTGAGAACCAGATTATCGACCAGACACTGATTTTATTCATACAAATACAAACAGTTAACACGGTGTAACTCAGGTAAGAAATCAGAGTTACGACATAAAACCGTTATTTGCATGACAAATTATAGACGGGCTCTCTGTCTTCGCTCAGTAACCAGTCACAACTCAGTTTCATCTGATATATAGTACACTTGGTATACCTGCATTCGTGTTGATTTTGCCGTGGAGATTGATACTCAATGCTCATAGCTTCAAGCTCCAAAGCTACTGAGCTGCAATGATCTGATAGATAACTCTATATTGTGATATTGGTCATCTACGCAAAAAACGTTGATAGGTTTTGGATTGAACTTAGAACTTTCGGTCATTGTTGATTAGATATTCACTCTTATTAGTTCATTTATCGAAAGTAAGTAAATGTTGATTTTATTTCACATTATTTAGGTCGTAGACCATTTGCCTGTGATATATGCAATGCTTGTTTTACACAAAATGGCCATCTGAAACAACATATTCAAACAGTTCATAAAGGTAATTTATTAAACACAAGTATATTGTTTTACTAAATTTTCATGATAAATAAATCCATTTTTATTAAATTTATTATAGCTAATGTGAAGTTTGTTTCTTCAGTGCGTTTTAGTATACGATTGATGTAATACAACTTAGTCGGTCAGCTACAACGTAGAACCAGGCACTTATGTGCATCGGTCCAAGTTGCCATACTTCATTAGCACAACAAGATGAACATCGGATTCATAGAAGTAGTTAATTCAGTGGTGGTAATATATAAAAGAAAGATTGCATATAAGAACATAGTACAGGAAGAAATAATTAGTTGGTAGAAAGAAGGATACGAAGCGATTTTAATATCATAGTTTAAGGGAAAACAAAAAGTCTATACACTGACGGCATTGTGATCTATTCTGAGCCATGAACCAGATTTCTTGATATAAAGCCTGCCCAAACTAGAGTCGATGTTTCAGACTTATGACATAATAGTATAAAACCGAATGGTTTGATATGTAAGCTGTTGATTTACCACTAGTTCGTTCAGTTTATCCAATTTCATAAAGAAGATTTACTGCATTCATGTCATATTTTGTTTTGTAAAGTTAGGCATTCTATAACTGCTATTGATCCGATAATAAACGATCGTTTTCATACTTTAAAAGGACTTAACACTTTTCATTCGTTTGTACTAGCTCTATCCATAGTTTTAAATCTCTTACGGGCTACAACAAGTGGCAATAGTTAATGCGTTGTTAATACATTTGTAGACTAAAATAATGTATTCACAGCTCCGACTTCATTGAAGTGAACAAAACTACTTCTGTCCTTTTCTTCCCTGCTTCATTAATTAACGAGTGAAATCCTAATCGTAACGAAAGCTTTGTTGGTGGTGATCACCAGTGATGAAGTTGCATAAGATTACTTATCGTAGGTTGTTTTTTTAGTTCATTGATAGGATCGTAAATTGATCTCTTAAGAAAATCAAATACTTTAGTTCATTTCGGTGAAGTATATTGTAATATTCATGTAATTAATGAGCAAACAGGTAAGATTGAGATATTCAACTCATTGATCGGATCTATGAGTGTGTATACTGATTTACATTTTGTTCATTTAATTACTTAAATCGTACATACTATTGTATACCGAATGACACCTTTTCTGTCTCTATTCAGGATTACGACCGTATAGTTGTGATGTTTGTAATAAACGTTTCACTAAAGCCCGTTCATTGAGGCGGCATAATTGTGAAAAAAGTGGTCGTAAGTTGCCTTTTCGGTGTAATATTTTTATTTCATTGGGAGTTTCACTTAGTGTCATGCATACGCATAAAACAGGGTTACTTGTAATTGTTGCCGTCCGTATGCTTCTAGTAATACTCTTGTTTGATAATAATTCTCTTCATTATTCTTTAAACTCTCATCGATCCATTATAATTCTTTGTTTTCTTCTGTCATCATGTTCCTCATGTACAAACAGTTCTGACAATCTAACCGTAAAAAATATGTTTAACGTTAATGGGCTTTATAGTAATGAATCTCTCATGCATTCTTGTCTCAATACTGATCAAAGTCTACTAGCTCGATTAAACTATTGAAGGATATAAGTAAGGAACTTGGGGAAATCCGAGAGTTTTTACAATTACATTTTGAGATCAAGCCAAAAGTTTCCAAAATAGAGTTGTACTTGCTCAACAAAAATGCTAATTATTCACAGAAGATTATATTGGTCACACATTGTTAGTCGTAAGATATATGGCAGTTGACCGTACGGTTAATAAACTGAAGTTTAGGCTTACAGTATTTATCCCCTTTTTCAATGACTAACTTGTGTCTATAACAGAAATTGTTACTTTAACTATTCTCAATGAGTTTAATTGAGTTTATTTAAATCATCCATATTGTTATGTATTTATAATTCTTAGAGCTCTTAGAGCTGATGTGATTGAACCGACTAAAAATCTGAAACAGCTGAATATTCAAATATATTTACCAATTATTTTGCTTATTGTCTATAGAACCAATGACCTCTAGATCAGTCACTCAATAACCATGACCTTAATGTATATCATCAGCTCACGAGTTACTTTTATCCCAGTGTACAATCAAAAGACGAAGCTAACAAACAAAGTCATTCTATTATCTTATTGTTTTAAAAACTCAAGTTTGTATACATTAATTACTTAGTCAGACAATCTTACAAATAGGAAGTTATAATATATATACAACGGAGCTATAAGTGATATAAAAACGGAGGAATAGGGAAATGACTAATTAAGTTTTTGACTGAGATCATGGATCGATTGATGTTGGATTACTATTGAAAACCTGGAAGCACTGGGACTCCCCAGCAGTGCGCATCCACGATCCCGCACGCGAGACTCAAACCCAGGGACCTAAGTCTCGCGCGCGAACGCTTAACCTCTAGATCACTGAGCCGGCCGGCTTCAAACGGTGTTAATGTCTAACTCTAACCAATTTACGAAATTGCGCGACCATCTTCTATTGTACTGAGGTAGATGCCTGTCTCTAACAATAGTTTAGGAATGACGAAACTTATCATAACAGTTTATGCATTAAATGAAAGTTTATAAAATGTGATAATATTGAAGTACCATAATCCATGTATTTAGTAGTTACACTATAGTGTATGCTACTTATATCTGTCGACATAAATAGTATATAAGACCAATCGGCTGTAGAAACTCTGGCAACAGGAAGCTAAGAAGCCCAAGTTAAAAAGAATAGAAGTGAAAATAGAAAAGAATTGTGAACTGGAAGAACCATACAGAATGTAAAAGAAAAATGATGGAGATTTTCAAAAATTTACCCTTTCTCAATCTCACTTCTATATAACACCTTTTTTTTAAAAAGCCATTTCTGATGTAACATGTACGTTTCATACTTATCAGTAAACTGATACACATCAATAATTCGATGATTTTTTTTCTCTCTCTCTTCCAATACTTCTTCATATTTCAGCATTAAAACCTTTTGTTTGTGATGTATGCGGTCGTGGTTTCTCACATATGCACACAATGAAAACTCATCGTGCTTCAATTCATGAAGGTTTGTTGAATTACGAATCGCGACTAGTTTATTTCAACTCAATATGAATCATTACTTTTATCAGATCAATTATTTTTACCAATAAATGTGGGTCGTAAAGTAGTGATGATGCAGATAGATGAATCTTATATCTTCTGTTTTAGATCTTGAGTTCCAGTATTGTTTCATGCTGTTTTCTTTCGCAAATTTATTCCTCCTCTTTGAACTATTTTCTTCAATATTTAGTTTTTATTTTTACTGATACTAGTGTTGTTTCAGCTCCTTTGGTAGTTATTTGTTAAGTTCACCTCATCATGCTGATATAATGTAATAACTAGGGCGGATTAGTATTCCTGTCTCATCTTGTGTTGATTATGATGGACTGACTGAAGTGTGCCCCCAAAATTCCCTGATACGGCCGAGAGTGGGGAGAGTCAGCTCTCCCTCCAAATGCTCTCACATGGATACGTGCATACAACCACTGCCAGGGAAGTCCTGCTCACTACCTTCTCGTGGCATTTCTGTTGCTTACGAAATTGAGAGGACGAAAAGCGAATGCCCGGCTCTTTGACCGGGTTGGTGGACATGGAGAGTCCACCTAGGGGAGTCGGAAAACCCTGATTCCAAACCAATGGTGTACATGGACTCCAGGATTCTGAAGGAACGAATGGCGTATGAACCAATCGTTGGTCACTGGTTATCATGGGACTGTATCTCCTAAAGTTGCTCCACTGCCTTGTCGATCAGACCTTCAGGTCGAAGGCTCTGGGTGTGGTCCCTTAAGAAAACCATCTCCTTCCGTTTGGGTACTCGGGCAGTATCCCAACCCTCACATAAATCGAATGATTTGTGTGATGTATATATATTTGGTGCCTCCGTGTACCAATATTTATGTGTTTAGATAAAATAAAAACTGAAGTTTATTTGGCAATAATAAAAAAAGTGCTGACCAGTAGTTTTATTATATAACGATCGTTGAATTTACCAACAACACCAAGTTTTATCATCGGAGTATATTTTTCCGGAGCTATACTCACCGACTATAGATACATAGTGTTACACACTTTGTCAATTAGTGACCATACTTGATTTTTAAACTATTGATTTACTCTATCACTTATTATTATTATCTGAACACATAAATATTGGTACAAGAGGGCATCAGATACATATGCGCCACACAAATCTCATTTGATTTGTGTAAGGGCTGTGATACTGCCCGAGTACCCAAACGGAAGCAGATGGTTTTCTTAAGGGACCACACCCGGAGCCTTCGACCTGAAGGTCTGATCGACAAGGCAGTGGAGCAACTTCAGGAGATACAGTCCCATGATAACCAGTGACCAACGATTGGTTCATATGCCATTCGTTCCTTCAGAATCCTGGAATCCATGTACACCATTGGTTTGGAATCAGGGTTTTCCGACTCCCCTAGGTGGACTCTCCATGTCCACCAACCCGGTTAAAGCGCCGGACATTCACTCTATCACAGATAGCGCTGGTCGAAATTCTCAAATCTCATATAATCACGGTGATATTTAAAATTAATATGGGTTAATCTTAATGAGGTTAAATAATTGTATCCATTCAAATAGAAATGTAACTACAATTCAAGTAGAAAAAATGAAATAGATGAATACGAAATGGGAAGTCTAACACTTAAGGGGACGGAAATCATGAATCTATCTCCATTACTGCTCCTGTTTATAAATCATTCCAAACAACATAGTAAACCATACATTACTGCTATATTTTGGCCTCGCAACCAGGTATTATACATCTCTTTACGTAGAAAAATAGCAATCCTCTTGTAGTAAGTATAAATGGAATCAGTCTGATTAACATAGTGTTTAAGATATTACATCCCATTTGTTTTATCATCTAACGCAACTGTAGCTAAAGAATAGCGAGTCCCCTTTCCTGAAAAATGCTAAATTTTTAAAACATAGCCGTGGATATTTATACAGATCAAATATACGTACACCATTCATCTGATTTTTTGATCATTAGCAAACCTGTCGACTGTTTATTCATTGTTTACTTTCGATTTTCAAACTGAACAATATTAAACTTAATTATCAGTGTTTTTTTGAAATGTAAAGTTCACCAATTGTAATCATTTCTGTGATAGCATTTTTGCTTTCAGATTAATTGATTTCCAATTATATTTGGATATGTCATCTCTCAAATCAGATGGAGTGGTTGCTTAGTGGTTAAATCTTTCGACATTCAATCACTAAGTTGTAGGTTTGGTTCTCGTCCCATGTACTTCGGTTCTGGCAACCGGATAGTATCATTGGTCTTTATACTTAGATTTTGGTTGGAAATCAAACACAGATCTACTTAGTAAATAAGTTGTTTACAAATTCGGTTAATCCGTCAGTTGAACTGTGAAAACGCTAAATTCATCATTTTTTCCCTTAAACATCGATAAATCGCTTCGATCTTATTACCTATTACGTTAACAGTAATCATTATTATCAACTCATCAACCAGGTACAGATTTATATACTTGACTTTGAATCATTCTCTAAGTTTGAGGCGTAGGGATGCTACCTTGTTACTCAAACCGAAGTAGGTAGGTTGTGTCAGAACTTGGAACTTAGTGATTATGAGCTAAACAGTCTGACTAGTGTGCTACCATCCCACTTCTTTCACGCCAACAGTGTTAGCTTAGTGACGACAATTCACAATCTACCACCACTATATAGTAAGTTCGAAACTCTCTTCATTTACTTCAGTTAAGACAATCAGATAGTATCATTAGTCCTGATGCTTGTTATCAGTATCTGAAAGCCAAGTACATATACATTTTCTTGTTTTTAAATGAGTTGAATTGGAATTAAGCGGATAATTCTTCATAATCAGTTTATCATGGCAAATACATTTAAGCGATGTGAAAACTTATTATTTACTGTGAATAAACACTGAGAAGCCTATCCAAGTGTTTACCAAAACAAAAAATCTAATTTATTGTAGAACACAATCTACCACTAGTCATATTCAAATGGTATTAGTACTTAGTATCGTTATGTACTTCTCTATATGTTAGAGCTTAGGGTTTTTTATTTATCGTGTCGGTTATCGTTCATTTCTGAAATGTCAAGAGATTGGGAGTAATTGGCACCAGAATACTGCAACTAAGTTTCGTGCTGGTTGGAACTCGTTAGCAAGACATAATTGCAATCTCAAAGTCACTGATGTTCCCTGTGGGATTCAAACCCGCGTCATCCAGCTTTACAGTCTCAGACATAACCACTAAGCTATCTAGGCCGTTTATTTCTATTGGACGAATAAAAACAGTAAATATAAACCTGACCACCTCATGTGTACTCGTGTTTTTCCTCTTTTCTATCAGTACAATAGTTCCATTTGTTTTAGCGATTTCAAATAAAAAAAACCCACTTTCGATTGTTTTCTTTTATGATTCTATTAGGTTGTCTTCCTTTCGCTTGTGGAATTTGTGGTGCTCGTTTTCGTGAATCTTCTGAATTACAAAAACATAGACGTACATTTCATGCAGGTAAATAAAGTGACCTATTCGTGTATGAAACATCACTACATTTATTGTGTTAATCTAAGTTTGGATTCGCTATTTTCCATACTTTTATTTAATCACCAAATTCTTCTCTTTTGCTTATATTCAGGTGAAATTAGTTATAATTGTGGTGTTTGTGGAATCGCATTCCAACACGCTGCTGATATGCGTCAACATAGAGCTACTGTTCATAATTGTAAGTATTTGAAAAAAAGTTTTTTATTATTCAGTCGTAGACGTTTTTCGCAATCTAGTAAACATATGTCTTCAAGTTGTCTCATCTAATTTCCGCGTAGAATTAACATACTATGATAACGTCACACATAGTGCTAAAGATGGAGGATTTATATTGATCGATCATTAGTCTATTTCCTTTACGCCGATTAGATTCCATCGATTTTGTCGCAATGTGACCACTAGTCCAAATAAGTTGGTATTGCATAAACTATTCTTTTTATCTAAGATTGTTGAAAGTAGCTGACAGAAAACCCTGTTTGATTTTCGTTTCTTACAACTTGGCACTTGTTAGCAAAACTTACCTGAAATACTACAGGAATTAATGTTCTCTGTGGGATGCAAGCCGGCGTTTTATTTTCCAGTGGAGCAGTATTTCTAAGTGGTAACTTCTCAAACAGTAAAAGAGGGTGAACCGGGTTTTATGGGTCCAGGAATCATATTTGTTGTCCATTCGTGTATTACAGGTACACATTTTCTTTCATTTTCTTAGTCCAATCTGCTCGGTCACTATTTTTTTGACAAGATCATGTTTGTTTTTTAACCAATGTTTCCAATGTACAATTAGCTGAAAGACCTCATGTGTGCGATATTTGTGGGAAATGTTTCGGACAGGCAAGTAAATTACTTCATCATAAATCTGCCGTTCATGAAGGTAAGTAACAATATTAGTAAAAGTTGTATTATTGGCTGATAAGTTTGCTTCTTTAACTGTTTTCTTTTTCCATAATCACTTGACTCTCTATAGATGAGTAAATAGGCACTGATGATTTGGTCGTCAGAAATATGAAAACCACTATTCCTAATTATCTAGTACTTAATAATGTAAACCTATTCAGAACCCTGATTGTTTCTGCACTTAATTTCTAAAACTGTATTCATTGTCCAATAATTTGGCATACGATGCTAATGTATTAACTTCTAAGTCAGATACCAACACTGAATGTCTTTAAATCCTTTAGCCATCATATGTAAATAGACTTATTAATTCAACTGACATAATTATAAATATACCCTGAAAAAGCCTAGTTTTACATTAGTTTTCAAGGTAATCAGACATGATTCACGCTCTTACATTAAGACCTAAATAGCACAACTATTTCCTGTGGCTCAATAACACAGGTCCCAAGAACTTATTAATAATCAATCAGTGATTGATTCTTAATCTAATAGCTAAAACATTTAATTTTTATTCACTAACGTTTTAAGCATTTGTTTTAAATTCCTTGGTTTATTAAATTACTGTCGGTTATAATTTATTCTTCTTATAATTTTTTTGAATGGAAGTCGGATTAAAAATTACATTACTGATGACTTCCAGTCAGTCAGTTATCTTGAGTGCTGTTAGAAGTATGAGGTCGGTTATCACTTCCCGGTCGCCCACACCGTGGAAGGGTTCTTCTGGAGGTACCTGACAAGGAAATTGGGTTAAAAATGTCTTAGTGACCTGAGAGCGTGACCGCAGTACCCAAGGGACAACTGCTTGAGGTCGGTCACACACGACCTTTTTGTGAGTAATAATCGTGTTAGCTCCGTAATTGTTGAGACCTTACCACTGGAGACGGATATTCGTGAGATTAGGTGAGGTGTGTATTTTTAGGGTCAACCTTTTCTAACTCCACCCCTCCTTGTGGGAAGACAGCACCGCTGTTATTCTGGTTGTCTGAAGGAGACACCTTACTGTCGTCACACCTCTATACAGTCATCAGTACGAATTCTCCCTCCGACGTTGGGTTTGCTGCCTTTAGTCCTATAGACCTGTTTGACATGGTAAGACCTTGAGGAATGGTTGTTCCAGCCAGTATAGCTCGATTGATTCATCACGATAGACAAACCTGACCATCACGTCAAGGTAGCAACAATGGTCGGGATGACCTTCAGTAACACTTAAAATGACTTTGAGAAACTAATGCATTACTTTTTTAACAATCAGAATGTTGTTGATTAAAATGATGGGGTTATTTTACAAAGAAACTTGAAAAACAGATTACATTGGGGTTAGGATCAGGATTTAGAGAGTTAGGGTTAGGAGTTTAGATTAGTATTTCAGTTTAAGGCTAGAATGTAATAGTAATAGTTAAAAATAGAATGGTAGACTGCTGTTGTAACCATATAAATAAATATAGGTATCCATATCAAGGTTGGACTTGATAGTTTTAAATAAATTGAGCATTGGGTAGAGAGTTAATAATGAATACACTTTTTGTTGTATCCTAATGAGTAGAATGTTTGTATTTCTGACGATGTTTCGTGACTTAATATAATCCACTTCTTCAAAGTAAGTAGATAACCAACATTAAGTTAACACAATTTTACTTATTTACTCTGATGAAGTATAAGTTACTTTTGGGTGTTTCAATCTACATTCTTAATCACTATCACATGTCTACTACTACTTGTCATTCATTGGTTTATTTCTGTATGTTTTTTTGTTTCTTCCACTCTACGAAATTATAAAATAAATTATCATCTTTCAGGGAAACGTCCACATTTATGCGATATCTGTGGTGCTCGTTTCACACAAAGTGTTCATCTGAAACAGCATAAAGCATCAGTTCACGAAGGTAAATGTACCCTTTAGTGTTGTTGATTATATCATGAATTATTATGGCAGTATATATATATATATATATATATATATATATATATATATATATATATATATATATATATATATATATATATATATATATATATATATATATATATATAAAATGTTAGTTGATATGGAGTCCCAATCAGAAGTAGCTTAATGAAAGTGTCAAAATGAGTCAATCTCCTAAGGATGGACTGGTATATATATATTTTATTCGGTAGTCCAATACACTTTCTCGCTCAAGTAGTCAGTTTGTAAGGTTAGCGCATAGCATACCGTGTATCAATATCAGATTTCGGAAAGCGCATGTCACAACAGTAATCCAGAAAAAGGTTGGTATGCTGCGAATTGGTAACTGCGACACAGTATTAACAAGTATTTGTTTACATGGCTTAGATGATAACGTATGGTTGTTCAATTCATATCATTTATTATTCCCTCTCATAGTTCACCAATCCAAGTGAATTTCTATGATAAAAATCAATGGATAATGCATTGAACAATGCATATATCTAGCAGATACATTTTTTCAGCTTGACCAACTATTTCATGACAATATCAGCAGACAACACTACTTATAATTGATACAAATTGAAATTTATTAAAGATACAACTCTTTGTAGTCATTTCTGGGTCAATTTAAAAGTACAATAGAAAGTTAATTGAAGAGTTTTACGGTCATTAATCCAACATTGAAATCACCTAAGTAACTGGATTTTTCATATCTCATTAAGTATCATGAATTAAAATCTGAAGTGAACAATTTTTGACATCATCATTTGATAGTCTAATGGTTCAATTCTTTTCTTCAATCATTACATTACATTTACCGACAAGTACCATTAAATGTGTAACTTAAACTTACTACTCTATTTGCATCTACGTTCTGAACTATTATTACCCATTCTTTTTCTTGAAAATAACAACCAATTATCGGTTTGATAATTGTCAATATTTCCCTTTTTATTCATTTATTTATTGTTGTGGTTAATTCAGGTAAAAAACCTTATCAATGCAATTTTTGCCAGCGAAGATTCACTCAACTTGGACATGTCCGTGTTCATAAGTGTGTTGTAGATCAAGGTAAAGTAGAAGTGTTTTATATATTAACCTCATTGGTATGTTTTTATTTGTCGATTGTTAATCAATCAACATAAACCAGCGTACAGATTCTTTAAAATGAATCTGTTGTCTGTCCATTGTTTATCTCTCTCCTTCCTAATGTTTTCTTCTTGAACATTACACTACTTAATAATACGTAGTAGTTTCAGTTTTGTTAAATCATGTTTACAGTTTTAACGAATGACACAGAGTTGCACTGATCTTGTCCAAAGAAATACGAAAAACCCTCATAAAGTGGGAAACTCATGGCTGCAGTATAGTCAAGGCATCCTTCAAACGAAAAATGGAAGTTATTGTGGTAAATGTCATGAAGTGCTACGAACTCACCGATGATAGACCAGTTTTATGTGAGGTTGCAGTCCACCGTATAGAAATCCCAAGGAAGGAACCTTACCATCCCTATGGGAGATTTTAACACCAAAATAAGGATAGACAATGCTAGATGTGAATATATCATTTGGTGACATGAACTAGAAGAAAGAAACGAAAAGGATGAGAGACTGGTAGATCTGCGGGCTTTCAATATCGTAGTTATGGTCGTCAGCATTTCCTCCACAAAGCTAATTGAGTTTCATTAGACCACACAACGAAAATATGATCGATCATATCTGGTTGGATAAAAAAATTCATAAGGTCCATTAAAGACATAAGAACAAAGAGTGCAGCTGATATACTCTCAGATCTCTACATAATAGTGGTCAAGCTAAACAAGCAATGAACACTCAGCATTACAAAGTTTAATTTAGCCTTCCTTCGAGGCGTTAGCAATCTCAACGAGTTCAAAATAACTCTCGGCAAACAGTTACGCCCAACTAGCTACTCTCGTCTCTTCTCTCTTTGTCTATGCTATCCCAACATGGGCAAACATTCTAAGTAATTAAGATTGTGTTCATAGGATAATCTATCCGATTCGAAGGCCATCGAAGTCCGCTTTTAGCGTTACGACTAGATTTGAGTGTGTGTATCTGTGTGTGTAACATTTATTTGTTCTCTCAAATTGTTAAACTCAATTTCATTTAAACTACTTGTACTGTGAAAGGTTCTTTATTACTGAATACAGACCGGTATCTATTCAGTCGTTCAGTCCTTATAGAGATCAGTTCCACCTGTAATGATCGACACTTCGACAAATCTATTGTGTCATATGAATAATTTACACATCATTGTTTTTTTCGTAAACTTACTTTTAGCAATATTTCTGTTTGCCTCACAATGGAAAACAACCTTCCCTATTTAGCCAGGTTCGCAGAGAAATAACCCATTAACTATCGGTATTTCGTAGATATTCATATCTTGTTATTCACTAACCCATTTTCCAGAACTATTTATTCGAAATTCTTTAGAAAGATAATAAAAAAATGTTTTAGTTTGTGTTATATATGGAGCTTAGTTTCTTATTATACCGCGTACAGCTAGAACATTCGAATGCCAGAACCTTCCAAGTTGCAAATAAGAAGACAAGTGAAAGGAATGCTATTCCAAAACAGTCGTACAATGGTACAAAACTGTCAGGTATTTTTAGTTTTTAATAAAAACAAAATCACCATTATAATCCTCCAACCCGTATACAGGGGGTTATTAGCATTTGTCCAATGAGGAGGCTACACCTAGGGATTCTGGAATATCCTTCCGAAAGATGATTGGGTGGAATATCTTCGTTTCTTTCTGAGCTTCCTCGAATTCACCCATGGGCCGTCCTCACAGTTTAAACTTAAAATGATGTTTTATCTTATAACTGAGATTTTTGTTAATGTTTGTTCATGGAAGTTTCTTTTTGTTTGACTAAAAAACTGTGAAATCTTGGATCTCAAATCTATTTTCTATAAGTTCTTTAGTTATCTTTTCTTGTAATTCTTTTCCTTCAAAGGTTTCAAACGTCACACATGTGATGTATGCGGTAAACAGTTTACACAGTTAGGTACTTTGAAGAAACATATTGCTGGTGTACATGAAAGTAAGTTTAAAATTCTTTATTAATAATACTTCTAGTGTTATTATCCTCGCGGTTTTGAATTTAATATGACAGTTTACATAGGAGATCTGTTACATTTGAACTCTCTGAATTTAACACCGATGACTTGTTTCAATATTTAGGCCACATATATTTTCAACCATTATTATATCTCTACAAGTTACTATTTTTTTTTGTTTTTTATGTATCATTCATATCAGTTAAACGTATAACTTATTCATACGTATATATCCAATGATATACGAAGCCCATCACCTTACAAAGTACAGTAACATTTACTCTGTGACATTTCAACGGTTAATAAGACTCATTAAAAAGAATGAAAATTAAATCAATTCCTTTTCGTAGATTATCTAGTTTTAACTGTATATCACTACTATGAATGTCGCGAACGAAAACACAATTGGCAACAACCAAACGTATTTGAATACAAAATATCTTAGTAAAATCTGTGAACCATACTTTATTCGCAAAATGTTAATCAATTGTCTCAGACTTGATTGCCTCTTCGTTTCCACATCAATCACTTTCTGTTCTCGTTCTCTTCTCTTTGAACTTCTTAACCTTCTGTCGCCAGGCATCTCACTTTCTATTGATGATACATACTACTTATACCTGTCGACATCAGTAGCACATACCACAGAAAAGGTAAATTATCTTTAATTGCTACTAATCTACACATGTATTATAATTGTTGTGTGGTCTAAATTCAAGAATCCTGGTTAACAGATTTATATGATGATAATAACTGACTCATGAGTTCAATCTGTGAAAATTTCTAAAAATCTCCACAAAACACATTCTGATAATAACAATCACCTGCTCACTAGTGACTGACTTCTGGAGTTCTAGTGAGAAGTCGTTACCAGTGGAGTTCAACCAGGTCTGTTGTGAGATAGGAACTCACTGAAGACAATGGTGTACGGTAGCGCAACTTCGTGGATTGGTTGAAGTTAGACATTAACACCGTTGGATGCCGGCTCAGTGGTCTAATGGTTAAGTGCTCGCGCGCGAAGCCAGTAGGTCCTGGGTTCGAGCCCCGGGTGGTGCGGGGTCGTGGATGCGCACTGCTGAGGAGTCCCATACTAGGACGAGACGGCCGTCCAGTGCTTCCAGGTTTTCAATGGTGGTCTAGCTTCAACTGACTCATGAGTTCAATCTGTGGAAATATAATTTCACTACATAGTTTCAAGACTGATCATCAGGAACGTTCAAACAATAGGAAAAGGTGTGCTGATGATGCAATCACATTTATAAGTGTGAAATTGTGTCAATCTAAATACGTGTATTTAAAGTTTGCAATTTTCTTCTACTGCCTTTGTTCTCTTTCAATCTTATGCAGTAATTTCGATTCGTGTAATTGTAGACGATTTCCCTACCGATTCTCATGCTCTCGTAGACTTGGATTTTATTAATTATTTATTTTTATATTCGACTTACAAACTATATCCTCTTCTTAGTTCTGATCATTACATAATTCGAGTTTTGCCCAAATTATATGGGAAGCTTGGAAAGAATACACATTCTTACTAGATATGGAGAGATAACTTTAGAAGCTATTCAGAGGAAAGCATCCAAAATCTAAAAATCATGTTTCCGTTGACAAACTAAAATTTATTTAAGAGTGTTTCATTGGAAGACTCATTCTTATTTCTCGTTACCTTAAATTCTACTTTATTGTTCGTTGTATCAGTGAAATATTTTTTATAAGATTCGACTTGTTTCATATTCTAACAGCTAAAGAGATTATGGAGAGAAAAACAAATCTATTGAAGTTCAATGGCTAAATGTCCTGATAAGCCAGAGAATTCAAACACTTCAGTTTAATATATTCTCGAAAAACTTAATTCAGTCGAATATATGGTACCTATACTTCTTTTATCCAACAGTTGTCTCTCACAGATCACAGTATAACTAACTGTAATTAACTTTCAAAGTGTATTACACATCGATAGCTAACAGATTTCTATGTATTAAACTGCATCTAATGTTTTAAAGCATGTTGAAATTCCATTCTTACCAATTATATTTGTATATAGTTCATCAATGTTTCGGATGTATTTTATCAGCATTAATTATATTGCTTAATAATTCCATACAAGTTCTTCGTCTATTGAACAATAAACATTTACTTTTGGTTAGTCGGTCAATTCTTACCTATTTCCTAAAACCTAGCGTCAAAGTCACTACTCGATTTATACTATATTCTGTCATGTTTCAATATTTATTTGTTTGAACACATAAATATTGGTACAAAGGGGCACCAAAGAAATATGCGCCACACAAGTCACTTGATTTGTGTATGGACTGTGATACTGCACGGGTGCCCAAACCGAAGTAGGTGGTTTTCTGAGGGGGCCACACCCGGAGCCTTCGACCTAAAGGTCTAATCGACAAGGCAGTGGAGCAACTTCAGGAGATGCAGTCTCATGGTAGCAGGTGACCAACGATTGGTTCATACGCCATTTGTTTCCTTAGGATCATGGAGCTCATGTACATCATTGGTTTAGAATTAGGGTTTTCTAACTCACCTAGGTGGATCTTCCTTATCCACCAACCTGGTTTATGAACCGAACATTCGCTTTTCGTCCTCTCAATTTCGTAAACAACAGTTATTCCACGAGAACGTAATGAGTAGGATTTCCCTGGCAGTAGTTGTATGCGCGTAGCTACTTGAGATCATTAGGAGAGGGAGAGCTAACTCTCCCCAGCATCGGTCGTCCCAAGGACATTTTGGGGCGGTTATAGTAAATAGAGCTCATGCTTCATGTATTTTATTCTTGTGTATACATCTAACCACGAAATTTATAATGTTATTGATCAGTGAAGACTGATGATTTTGACTGTTAATGTACTCGAATTTCAATCCTTGAACTGTAAAACTTCACCCAGTGTGTCAGTTAAGGGATAACATTGCTAGCCATCATATCGAATTTATGGTTCGCAAAATTCAGTACACAAATCTGGTTTTGATAAAATTCACTTCTTAATGTATAATACCATTAACTTACTTACTTACTTACGCCTGTTACTCCTCGTGAAGGAACATAGGCCGCTCACCAGCATTCGCCATCCAACCCTGTCCTGGGCAATCCTTTCGAGCTCCTTCTAATTGTTGTTCATCCTTTTCATATCTGCTTCTATTTCCCGACGTAATGTGTTCTTATGCCTTCCTCTTTTCCGCCTTCCTTCAGGATTCCAAGTTAGGGCTTGTCTAGTGATGCAGTTTGAAGATTTGCGTAGTGTATGTCCTATCCATTTCCATCGTCTTTTCCTAATTTCCTCTTCAGCTGAAAGCTGGTTTGTTCTCTCCCACAGAAGGCTATTGCTGATGGTATGCGGCCAATGGATGTTGAGTATCTTGCGTAAACAGCTATTTATAAATACTTGCACCTTCTTGATGATGGTTGTTGTAGTTCTCCAAGTTTCAGCTCCGTACACTAGAACTGCCTTGACATTCGTATTGAAGATTCTCACTTTGATATTGGTTGAAAGTTGTTTTGAGTTCCATATGCTCTTCAACTGAAGGAATGCGGCCCATACTTTGCCAATCCTCGCTTTTACGTCTGCATCTGTTCCCCCTTGTTCATCGATTATGCTTCCCAGATATGTGAAGGATTCTACATCTTCCAGAGTTTCGCCATCAAGAGTGATTGGATTGCTGTTCTCCGTGTTGAATTGAGTGGAACTCGTCACTGTACATCAACTTCATTGATTATGAAAAGGCATTTGACAGTGTGGATAGGAAAACGTTATGGAAACCTCTTCGACACTACGGAGTTCCTGAGAAGATTGTCAATATTATCCGGAACTCATATGACGGACTACAGTGCAAGGTCGTGCATGGAGGACAGCTGACAGATGCACTCCAAGTAAACACCGGAGTCAGACAAAACTGTCTACTCTCTCCCTTCCTCCTTCTTCTGGTGGTCGACTGGATTATGAAGACCTTAACATCTGAAGAAAAACGCGGAATACAATAATATCATTAAGCTTATTGTTATATCTAGAACTTGTGTTCTTGCTATACCGCTTACAACGTGAGCACACGAACGTTAAAACCATTCAAGTTTCAAGTTCGGAGAAAGAAGGCAAGTAAGAAAAAATCTTATTCCAAATAGTGTGAAATATGGTACAAAACACTCAGGTATTTCTAGTTTTTAGTAAAAGTGAAATCATTTCGGTCATCCAATCCGTATGCAGTGGTTTTAGCATTTGTCCAATCGGGTAGCTACACATCGAGATTCTGGAATGTTCTTCCAAAAGATGATTAGATGGAGTGTCTTCGGCTCTTTCAGAGTTTCCTTGAGTTCACTTTGGGTCGTCCCTACACTTATCATTTAATGTTTGTCATTGAAGGAGTTAACCAACTATTGGCGAAATACTTGGGTGATACTGTCCTACTGTTTTACTTTTATTTAACTTACTATCACTGTTTATTTTGGTGTCATTAATTCAACCAATTATTTTCTCAATATTTTTCACTGTTTTTTTTGTATTACACTTCTCTACAGAGTTACGTCCTTATCAATGTGAATCTTGTCCTAGTGCCTTTGGTACAACTAGTGAATTACGTCGACACAAAGAAAATGTTCATGAGGGTGAGTTTATGTTGTGGTACGCTGTCGATTACTGTTTAAGCTCTGTATTTGTTCTTTCATTGATATGGTTGATGTGTTAACTTGAACCGATCCTCATATGTTTTACGTTTCACGTTGCGTATGATTAACTGACTGACTTTTAGTCAACCATCAATGTATGTATATGTTATCGTGTTGGATATCTCATTTCTTGATGTTTGTATATAAATATGACTTAACCTTTAAATGATCATGAGAAAGTAGTGACATTTTTATTTGGTCTAAAACAGATTACGAAAGTATTTAGTTTTTCATGGAAACGAATGAATAAGAATCAAAGAGCAATTAATATGATAAACTAACTCTAACTAGTTAGATTTTCTCAATACAACCTCATTATAAATGGCCTTACAAAGCATCTCATTATTTTGTCAATTCATTATGATGATTACATTTTTCATCGAAATTGCCAGGTTTACTATTGATAGTCTACATACTTATTTGAACTACTTTTAGACACTTGATTATCTCTTCCCATTACTTTAGTCTTATTTGAGTACTTTTTTTCTATAAATAGACCAATTTTTACAGGAAACAATAATGAATTAACTAGTAAGTTATAGTCAACTAAATTAATGAATATTGGGTTAAATTCTATATTTTCAACTTTGATATTCTCTTCACTTGGTGTTAGTTGGCTTGTATCTTCCCATTGAGGTTTGAGATTGCAATTGATCAGTCTGTTTTCGGCATATGTGCATACTCAGTAGCTAAGTGGATAACGCGATGGCGTTTGAAGTGAATGGTACTGGGTTCGAGTCCCAGAGTGAAAATCAACTCTGAGATGCAGGTATGTCCAGCTGACGAGTCCCAAATAGGACGAAACGCGCGTCAAACTGGATTCCACTGCTAGCCACTATCCATCATTGCTTACAAAATGTTTGATATTCTCTTCTAGTTTCCATAAATTGTATTGTTATCCATTTGATTCTGTTAATTTTAAGATTTTTCCTACATATATATTTATTTCTAGGTAGAAATGCTCGAAAGTGTCGTTATTGCAATGAACTATTCAATACAGTTGATAATTTGAAGCAACACATAACTTTGAAACATTCCGGTAGTTATTTCACTTACAAATATGTGTATCTATTTAATAGTTGAATTCATGAGTTAATTTAAGCTAGATCACCATGATAAACTTGGAAGCACTGGACGACCGTCCGAGTCCTGCGTGTGGGATCGTGGCTATTCACTGCTGAAGAGTCCCATACTAGAACGAAACGGCCGTCCAGTGCTTCCAAGTTTTCCATGGTGTGTTCGAACTTGAATCAACCCATGAATTTAACCGTTGAATTACTACAATCTCCACAAACCCCATTCTGATAATGTGTTTGTATGTATTTGTTTATTTCTGTCCTCGTTTGTTTAGCGATATATTTTTAAGATATTACTAACAGATTCATTTAATTGTACTGTTGATAAAGGTTTGTAATATTTAGTTGTCAATATTTAGGACTGCCATCGATCAGTTTCTGTGTATCCTGAACAGATCGCTTCGACATAACGTCCTTACGCCTTTTTAATATATTTTGCATTTAACTAGTATAATCTAAAACATGGGTTTCCTCCTTTATGGGAGTCGTCATTTGAATGTACCTGCATCCTAGTGTTGATGTTCACATCGTATTCGTTGAGTAATTTAACGTCTATCTTGACTCAGTAGTTCAGTAGATAATGCGTTGGCATTTAGAGCGAAAGGTATTAGGTCTTAGTCTCAGTTTAAAAATTAACACTAGGATGCAACTCACGAGTCCCAAATGGAACAACAATCCTGTCCAGATTCCACTATTAGTAATATACTGAATATGCAGTTACTATATGTATATTTTCCTAAATGCCAGTTCTTTGAAAACACTCATATCATTTAGTGGTATTGTAAAATATTGCGATCTACCATATTAGTTTTGTTGTGTGCTTTGATCCGATTGAGTTGAAATACATGCATACCCCTAACCAGCTATGCAGAATAAAAAGATTAAAAGTGGTAAGAAGCTTCATTTTCAAATTGCGTCTGTGAATGCACTCGTACTTATTACAAATTTATCTTCATTGTATTATAAATAGACCAACTAAACTGCTGATGAGAGAGATGTAAGTTAGTGTTATCGTTTCATTTTGATTTGATTTACTACTAAAGGAACACACATTAATGAGTCATAGAATTCACTAACGATACTTCTTCGGAACCCAATCTTCTCACCCTTTAACCTTTCTCAGAAGTCAAAATTGTGTAGATTATTCCTATGTTGTGTTTTTCTTACTTAACTCTTAGGACAAAAACAAATAATGATTACGTTTACATTATTGTAACCAATTCTTATCCATATCATCTAGTTTCTTCACAGATTGATCACTTCAGTCAAGTTCTAAGCTATCATTCAAGTAATAAATTATGTGTTCTGTCATGTTTATTCACTTTTTTTACGTAGAGAGAAAAGAATTCACTTGTGAATTATGTGGTGATCGTTTCAGTCGACAAGTTGCTATGACTCGTCATATGATCACTACACATGCTGGTAATGAAACTTTCTTTGAATTTTTTTTACATATTATGCATACAGTATTGTTTATTCCAACTGATTAATAGAAATTCATGGGTTTGTACTTTGGTTATACTAACATAATCCTTGTTTTTTTATGCCTAAAGTCTAACTGTTGTTGGTTTCAGTAATATTATGGATCAACGTTTTGTATCCTTACGGATTGATTTCTAGCAAAGCAGTATTTAACCCAATCATTGTATACTTATAATTATTGACAGAGAAATAAGTATGGAGTTTAACCAAATGATATAATGAAATACTATCCTTGTTGTTCCGTTGTACTATTTAAACTTGAATTAATTTTGATTCGGTTATTTATTCTCTGAACAAGTGGTCAACACTGAGTTACGAAACGTCAGAAAATTTAATTTTCGTACTCATTGGGATATTGCAAATATATAATATCCACAAAACCCTTTCTGATATTAATCAACATATGCTCGTTAGTGATTGGCTTCAAGAGGTATGTCCTAGAGTTCTAGTGAGAAGCAGTGACCAGTGGAGTTCAACTGAAGACAATGACGAGTGTGTCTCTCAATTCGGTGGATTAGTTGAAGTTAGACATTAACACCGTTGGATGCTGGCCAGCTCAGTGGTCTAGAAGTTAAGCGCGAGACTGATAGGTCCTGGGTTGGAATCTCACGAGGTGTGATCGTGGATGGGTACTGCTGAGAAGTCTCACAGTAGGACGAAACGGCCGTTCAATGCTTCCAGGTTTCCAATGGTGGTCTAGCTTAAATTGACTTATGATCTCAACTATTAAAATTATTACAAATATATTATTTATTTAAAATGATACAATTTTTAAAATATGGGAACAATTTTGACTTGAAAATGATATTTATACTGTTACTTCTTCACCTTATAAAACTTAGGTATTGTGTTTATTACAACATTTAGATGTGTTATGTTCGACTTCGTTAACCATTGTAGATGCATACTACTTATAAGTCAAGACACATTAAAATAGTTCTCTAAAACTAACGCAGCTGAGTATGTGAATTGTAACACTATGAATATATATATATATATATATATATATATATTCATCAAATATCGGCTACTCTTTGTTGAGATGAAGTTTATAAGGTGATTAACGAACAAACCGTAATAATTATATTTCAAATTAATGTGAGTGGTGATTCTAGAATGTGGAATGAGGTGCGAATGAAAGAACTCAAGATCTATAACGAGATAGAAGGTACATGAATCTACGATATTGTGACCGATTCTTAACTATATTATCAAACGTCTCCAACCACTGATGAGAATTATTACGTGGACCACAACCAGTTGGTACGCACTTACCAACAAGGCTTAGTTGAACAATCAATGACTCATCAGTATGGAGTTAGGTAGTTTGTTAAGTTTTTTATTGAGATCATGAATCAATCGATGCTAGATCACCATTTAGAACCTGAAAGCATTGTACTACCGTTTCGACCTAGTATTGGACTCCTCAGCAGTGCGCATCTATAATCCCACACGTGAGATCCGAACCCAGAACTCTCGGTCTCGCGCGTGAACGCTTAACCTCTAGACCACTGAGCTGGCCAGCATCCAACGGTGTTAATGTTTAATTTCCAGGCTCTCAGTTGTTATCTAACATCATTTGATTTATGATCTCAATCAAAAAATCAATGACTTCACTGACTGATATCATGTCTTGTTTTATCTCTCCTGGTCTTCTTCCAATCTATTCCTACACCAACCAATATAGCAGATGAAAGCACTCAGTGGTTAAGCATACGTAACATATACCCCAATCAGGTTCGTCGATGAAAAATTCACAATTTCATCAGCAAATTTTCGATCCCTACATAGTATCTGCATCTAAAATCAGCATTGGTCATTCACTCGTTCCGTAAATTTAGAAAAATGCTTTGAAAGCCTACAAATCTTTTATATCAGTCTTAAGATACCAAACGTTTATACACTTGCTTTACAATACGGTGTGAATCACCCGTCCAAATGACTTCATTATTACTTACGCCTGTTACCCCCAATGGAGCATAGGCCGCCGATCAGCATTCTCCAACACACTCTGTCCTGGGCCTTCCTTTCTAGTTCTGTCTCCATTTCTTGGCGTAATATGTTCTTTGGCCCTAAGGATCCCATGTGAGGGTTTACCTTGTGATGCAGTTGGGTGCTTTCCTCAATGACTTCATTATACACATATTTTATCATTTTAGATGAGAAACCCAGACAATGTGGTATATGTGGTGTTTCATTTTCATCGCTGGCGGAATGGAAATCTCATTCAACATTGTGTAGTAATGGTAAGAATTCGTCTCAGTTTTTTCTAGTTTTGATTGACATTAGTATTTATTTATATTTATTAATTTTTATCTATGTTCATTGTTTCGGTTAGTTGTAAATAATGCAGGTTCTAGCGCGTAAATGTGTATTAAGTCAAGTTGTCACGTTTCATATAACCATTTAAAGAGAAAATAAGAGGTTGAAAGCAAAAACGTTCTGTTAGGAATCTGAAGCATGTCGAGAATAATTAATTATTATCAGAAGGGGTTTTTGTGGATATTAAAGTAATTTAATAGTTGAGTTCATGAGTTAATTGAAGCTAGACCACCATGAGCGACCGTTCTGTCGTACTCTGGGACTCCTCATCAGTGCTCACCCACGATCCCACCCCGTCAGATTCGAACCCAGGACCTATCAATCTCGCGCTCTAGCGCTTAACCTCTAGACCACTGGGCCGGTATCCAGTAACGTTAATGTCTAACATCAACCAATCTAAGAAATTGAGTCAATAATAAGTACATCACTGAGACTAATTTTAAACCATGTTGCTGAAAATCTCCTATAATTATGCCAAGGATCTTAACTATAAGAAGTCTATATTGTCTGAATAGTTAATGATTTCATAGGTTGTCACAGCGTTTTAGTTTAATCATCTTTACCCCTCTTTGTGTACCTGTAGCAGCAAGGAGTAGGGTTGTTATAAAGAAGGATTTTATGAGAGAAGTTCTCATGTCAGAATGAAAGAAGAGAATACTGATCGGATAATAATATGCAATGATGTAGCCAAGTGATGACTGTTCAGAAGACCAAATTTTTGGCATCAGTCTCCAAATACTTTGTGATCAACCATAAAACCACTAATCCGAAGAATCATTTTTTATGTACTACAAATATTACCATAAACAAGAACCTAATAAAATATAATAGTTGGATAAGTAAACTGATTCCGTAGGTCATTCACTCTTCCGTTTTATATCCAGGGGTTAGTTATACTATCCATTCATCATTTCTTTAAAATAATAATTTAATTTTAATTTTAGATGCATTTAAACACGTATGTCAATTGTGTGGCGATCGTTTTACCACTGTCATTCATTTACGTTATCACAAACGAACTGTACATCAGAGTAAGTTGCTCTTAGTAAAGTGAAACTTTTTATTTAGATATTTAGAGAAAGACGAAAAGAATGAAGAAGTAATCGTTTTAATTGATCTTTTGTTTACTATCAATTATTTTTTGGATCGAAATGATTGGCATTAGTCGATCATATGAGCTTGAAGGACTGTTGGAAGTCATGAGTCACTAACCTCTCACTTTATCCTAATTTTAGACTTCTTGAGACATTGCGCACTCAAAACTTTAGATAGAGTCAAGCTTCAAAACTTTTAGATTTCGTGGTGAACTGTCACGTTTGTGCTAATTGTTTCTTGTTTGTTTTTATTGACTTTGATTTTTCATTAACATGATTTATAGGTGTCTTCGAAGCATTGCTCTTATATCCTGGGACCACCGAGTAAGTAATGCAGTTGTTAGGAAACGGGTACTAGGTCAGGATGGCAAATCAGTTGATGAAGTAGTGAAACTTGATCAGTTGAGATGGCTGGGACACGTGTTACGTATGCCCAACGACCGACTGCCTCGACGTGCGATGTTCAGTGGTATAGGAGTAGGTTGGAAGAAAGCTAGGGGCGGTCAGACCAAAAGATGGCACAAGCCCATGAAGTCACTGACAAGTGGACTGAGCCATATTGGTAGGTGGAGACTACCTGATTGGGATCCGCGAGATGTTAGTAACCGATGGTTAAAGCCCGTGAATGGCATGGCTCAAAATCGTTTGCAATGGTTCAGGTGCATCCACTCTTTGTGTTCTTCAAAATTCTAATCTGAATTCTTCATGTCCCTTTTTTCCTCTTTCCAAATTTATTTCACTGGATTATACTATTTGAATAACATCTACAAACCCTAATGTTTCCGATCACTGCTTATACTTTTACTACCTTTACCACTACGGGATTTGAATCGACAACTGCATCTGTGCTAATGTGGTGTGGCAACTCGAACTGACGTACGTACGTACGTACGAATTTCTACGTTGTTGATGACTGACTAACTGATATTAACATAATATTTGAGTTACACTAAAGATCTACAAAACCACTATCCTTTATCTACTTTTTTAAAACTACACCTAAATTCAACATTATGACGCTTAATGTTTGTACATTAGTGATTCTAAATTTATGAAAAAGCTTTGCAACTAAATTAATTGGTTTTTGTGTTTTTGAATACTATGAACTAGACTGTTTGATTCTGATACTTTTATTACTTTTCTAGGCAACATTATTATAGTTTACTTTGTAAACAACTAAGCTTCTTAGCTATTTCACAAGAATTAAATCATTTTGTTCTAGTGTCTTTTCACTTGTCATTTGTGTTCCATTTATATGTTGTCCTCAATATTGTCCTGTTCATATCTATATCTATTTTCATCATCAGATGGTGTTTTAACTTTGAAAGAACACAAAATTGACTATCATTCTAATCAATATTCAATTCCATGTAACTCAAATAAATAAAATGATTGTTTCCTTCATAATTATTATTATTTATAATTTTACTTTTTTGCAGAGACTCGAACATATGACTGTACACAATGTGGACAAAGTTTTCTTCGTCTCAACAGTTTCAAATATCATTGTTGTATAGAAAGTAAGAGTATTAAAATAAAAGAGGTTGAAATTATTCTTTTTTTCTATAATGATAATTAACTTTTGAGGAAACAAAATCACAATGATACTCAGTTGTAAGACATAACAAAACAACAACCACTGAATACCTATTAATTCAGATAGTGTGATGTATGCTATTTGTGTGTTTGGACATAAGTAGTATGTAGCACTGATCATAAGTGGAATACCTGGCAACAGAAGACTAAGAAGATCTAATTGATGAAAATAGAAAGGAATTGAGAATCGGAAGAATTATACAGAATGTGAAGGGTAATTGATGAAACATTTGCAAATGAAGTATTTAATGTATGCTATGATGGGTAATGGTTAGCAGTAGAATCCATTTTCAGTTGCGTTTCGTTCTATTCGGAACTCGTCAGTCGGATATACCTGCATCCTAGAGTTGACGTTCACTCCAGAACTCGAACACAGTGCCGTGGAATTATCCACTTTGCTACTGAGTCCTGATAGCCGCTGGTTTGTGCAGTGGGATGAAGTTTAAATTCACTTTGTATTATTTACTTGTATCTTCCCATTTTCATTTAGCACTGCAAGTGAACAGTCTCTTATTGGCATACATGTATCCTGTGCAGATTGCCTCGATATAACCTTAAGTCACAATTGGAAGATACAAGTAAACAATTACAAGTGAATTTATTTAATGTATAGTTTTGATATTTTACCAAAATATTCTGTAATTTCCTATTGAATAATAAATTGGTCATCCCTATCTGAGTTCTCGTTTACTACTATAGCAACAAATATCAGTTTAAAAATATGAGTTCAAACAAAGTTACCACAGTCTTCTTTATACGTTAAAATTTCTGTTTATTATGAATCTATAAAAGATCTGACAATTTTAGATTCTTCTTACAGAACTAAATATTAAACTATTCTCTTATAATTTAATTTGATTTTTGATGTTGTTAGGATGTTTATTTGTTCCCCAGGGCTAGAATTTATGATTATGTTTTGTTTTGTCAGATAAATCGACCAGTGTGAAAACCGATGATAACTCCGTATCATCATTATCAACCTCAAATCAACTATCTACACTTCAATCACCCGTCACTACTCAACAATCAACAACATCATCGGATTTGCCTACACCTTTATTAGGTATTGTGCCACCAGGGTCATCATCAAATAATCCAAATCTTACAGCTATTGCAGTTCTATCAGCTGTAGTCTCAAGTTTTGGTCTATCAGCATTGTCTTCAACTTCTGAATTTACGGCTAATTCACACAAGTCTACCGACAATACAAACAATACAGATCCTAATTGTGGTAAGATTGTATTATTTCAAACGAATTTAAGTATTCATTAGTAGTTATTGTCTTTTTTAATCTAATCAAATAGACTAGTGTGTATATTGCATAATTTACTGTTTTAATTTCACTTTTAACACCAATTCTAAACAGTTATTTGAAAAGATTTTACTCCAACTTTCTGAACGACTCTTCACGGCGAGACTATAATTTATGGACAAACCAATCAGGGATAAGATAATATGTCATGGATTTTGGCGCGAAATTCACTCATCCATCTGGATAAATTGAGTTTTGACATTATAGCTGATGTCAATTCGTGATAAAAACCCTAAATCTAATTCCTAACCTTAACCATCAACTGTAAATCGTAATTCTAATTCCTCACACTGGTTTATAACCCCCATTCGGTTCTAGATATTAAGTGGACACTCTCATGGTCACTTTAGCGTCTCTCAAAGATTGTCCATAAATTATAGTCTTACCCGATTCACTCAAATTGCGTGAATTTTCACAACATAATAGCATCAAATTAACAATTAAATAGTGAATGTTAATGATTATAACGTTCTATTTTTAACTAGTGCCTCGTAGATTCAAATCCTGCATAAACTATTTCGAATTAGATAGCTGAGTAGTATTGTTGTGGTGTATGCTAATTATGTCGACATAAGTAGTATATAACACCAATTAGAAATGGAATGTCCGGCAACAGAATGTTAGGAAGATCGAATCGAAGAGGACGGAAACAAATATTAGTTGTCATGGTGATGGATGTACTTTTCAATCGGAAGCTTGGAAAGTAACAACGTTATTTCTCTGATTTTGTGAATAAGCACCAGAAAGTATTCTTTCAAGTAACTTCCTTACATTAGCCGGTCTCACGCCAGTAACTATAGCCATCTTACAAATTATATACGTGGGTGGAATAATAGAGTGATTACCTCCACTAACAATATCACAACAGTGTATAGTGTTACTTACTTACGCCTGTGTTATAACGTGGAAAATAATGCTGCTGAAGGGATAGCGAATTATTGATCAGACCAAAGACGCATAAACACGTAGAACAGCCTAGGGTTCTGATTGGTCTCGCTTCCCTGCCTAACCCAGCCAGTTGAGTCCAGAACGAAAGTCTTAGCCTCGGATATATGAATCATTATATTTCAAACATACTTGTTTATATACCATTCAAGCAGTCCACAACGTACCATAAAATAGAAGATAACATTGTACAACAATGGCCAGTAGGAAAATGACACGTTAAATAAATACTGACCAATAAGATGATACTATTTCATGTCCAAGGATAGCACTAGGCTTAACAGGATAATTTTTGGGATATTTTCCTGAATATCCCAACAGCCTGTTACCTCTCGTGGAGGAGCATAGGCCGCCCACCAGCATTCGACATCAACTTCTGTCCTGGGAAATCCCTTCCATTTGCTATTCATCCTGTTGATGTCTGTTTCCAATTCCCGACTCACTGTATTCTTCGGCATTCCTCTTTTCCGTTTCCCTTCAGGGTTCTAAGTTAGCGTTTGTCTCATCATACAGTTTAATGATTTCCTCAATGTGTGTGTCCCGTCCACTTCCAATGTCTTTTCTTAATTTCCTCTTCATCTGGAATCTGATTTCTTCTCTCTCATAGTAGGCTGTTGCTGATGATATCCGACCAACGGACATTCATTATCTCACATAGACAATTGTTTATATATACTTTTACTTCTTTGTTGGTGGTTGTGGTAGCTCTCCAAGTTTCAGCTCCATACAATAGAACCGTCTTAATGTTCACATTGAAGACTCTGATCTTGATATTTGTTGAAAGTTGTTTTGAGTTCCATATGTTCTTCAACTGTGGAAATGCTGTCCTTTCTTGGGCGATTCTAGCCTTTTCGTCAGCATCAGATCCTTGTTCATCGATGATACTTCTGAGATACGTGAACGTTTCCACCTTTTCCAGAGCTTCTTCATCAAATGCGATTTGCTTGGTGTTCTCGGTGTTGTATTTGAGGATCTTGCTTTTTCCTTGTGTATGTTGGGGCCCACTGATGCAGAGGTTGCTTCTACACTGTCGTAACCTTCATTTGTTCGTGTGTATGAAATAGGATAGCTATGTCTTCTGCGAAGTCCAAATCGTAGAGTTCCATCCAATCTGTCCACTTTATTGCATGCTTTCCCTCAAATATCGAGGTCTTCATAATCCAGTCAACGATCAGAAAAAAAGAAAGGGGGGAGAGTTAGCATCCTTGTCTGACATCGGTATTCACTTGGAATGCATCTGTGAGCTGTCTTCCATACACAACTTTGGATTGTAGTCCGTCGTATAAATTTCGTATGATGTTGGCAATCTTCTCAGGCACATGATAGTGTCGAGGAAGGTAGCATAAGGTTCTCCTATCCTCGCTGTCAAATACCTTCTCATAGTCAATGAAGTTGATGTATATTGACGAGTTCAATTCAGTTGATTGCTCAACGATTACACGTAGTGTCGCGATTTAGTCTGTGCACAACCGACCCTTACGGAACCCAGACTATTGATCTCGAAGCTGTACGTCTACTGAACCTTCCATCCGGTTCAGCAACACTGTTGAAAACCTTTCCTGATACCAATAACAGTGTGATTCCTCTGTAGTTCTCACATTTTTTGATATCTCCTGTCTTTGGTATCTTGATGAGGTGTCCTTCTTTCCAATCTGTCGACACTTGTTCCTCATCCCCAATCTTCCTGAATACAACGTGGAGTATGTTTGCAGCTACTTCAGTGCCTTAGGTGGTGTGTTGTCTGGTCCTTCTGCTTTTCTACTGTTGATTTGTCTGACGGTGATGCTGATTTCTTCAGTCGTTGATGGAGTGACACCTATAGGAAGGTTTGTGTGTGTTGCTTCGATGTGTGGTGGGTTCAGTGGAGCTTGTCTGTTTAAGAGTTCCACCCATCTGTTTTTCTTTTCTTGAATTTCATTGATTAGTTTGCCTTTTTTGTCTTTGACTAGTTTCTGTGGTTTACTATATTTCCCTGTCAGTTTCTTCGTCGTGTCATATACTTGTTTCATATTTCCTTCTCTTGCAGCTTTTTACGCTGTCGTTGCCAGGTCTTCCATGTATATCTGCTTGTCGGCTCTAATGCTCCTTTTCACTTGCTTGTTCGCTTATATGTATTCAGTTTGTGCCTTGTCTTTCTCTGTTCTTGTTCGGCTGTTGTTGATTGTTGTCTTCTTGTTCTTCCTTTTTCTTAATATTGTTTATGGTTTCCATAGCGATCCATACCTTATGATGATGCTTCTCGAAGCCCAGAACCCTCTGACACATTGAAGTTAGTGTTTCTTTGATCCGTTTCTAGTTGCTTTCATGGTATTTTCTTCTTTAAGTAGATCTTGTAAGGCTTGTAACCTGTTGTTGAGAGGTATCTTGAACTTGTTGAGTTTGTGAGTATTTCGAAGGGAGGCTGTATTAAACTTTTGTAATGCTGTTTGTCCAGTTTTCCAAAACTTCTTTAGCTTCAGTTTCATCTTGGAAACCACTAGGTGGTGATCTGAAGCTATGTCAACTCCTCTCCTGGTTCTCTCGTCTTCCATTGACCTTCTGAATTTTTCAGCGATACAAATATGATCTACCTGGTTCTCCGTGATTTGATCCGGTGAGACCCATGTAGCTTTGTGTATGTGTTTGTGTGGGGATATTTTCCCGCTGATAACCAATTTGTTGAATGCACATATATTTGCAAATCTCTTCCCATTTTCGTTGTTATCTCCAAGCCCATTTCGTCATATCCGGTATTGTCCATTCCGACTTTGGCCTTTAAGTCTCCCATCAGTATGGTCAGGTAATTTTCCTATGCACTTTGCTATGATTGATTGCGGCCTCGAGTAGAACTGATCTTTATCGTCTTCACTATTACCATTAGTGGGTGCATAATATTAGATAACATTGATTGCAATTCCCTTCTTCTTTGTTTTGAAGGATGCTTTTATGATCCTGGGTTCATAAGATTCCCACCCAACAAATGCATTTCGTGCTTCTTTGAACATCATCAGAGCAACTCCTTGAGTGTGTTGAGCATTTTCCTCTTCATGATCGGAGTACAGCAGCATCTCCCGAATTTGTATTCTTCTGTCCAGCTTGTATTCGATATGTTTCACTGATTTTGAGCGCTGCCAAGTTGTATCTCACCATTTCCGCGGCATCAGTCTCGTGAATTAGGAAGTATCTCAGCTTTCACCATGAGGCGTTATAATTCTTCTGAATGAAGATCATTCAGAGTTTAAATGGTTTAAATCATTTATTCTGTTTAGCGTTTTTTAGCAAGGTCGTTTCTAGGGGTTAAGTTTGCTAACCCCATACCCGGCCCTCCTTTATCTGGGTAACCGGCAGGTAGAGTTCAAAGTAATGTGTCCGACTGTAAACCTCGACTTGTTTATGTGTAGTGGTTTCAGTGGGTTATAACTGTTAACTTGGTATCCATGCGAAATGGTTTCTCTGATTTACCTACTGTATTATCCATTTTTAATATCATCCACTTTAATATAAACAGCAGGATGATTTCAGTAAAACCAGTCACACTCAACATAGAATGTTTGCGACTTATGACTGAAATATTTCCTGAGTATCCATGAATAAATTAGCAAATAAAGTTGATTTTCTTGCTGATAACCTTGTATTTTCGTTTTTATTTTTTATTGCTTTCAGTGTCTACTGAACAATCTTCCAGACTTCCTACTCCTTTACTTGAGTTGGCACAATCACTTCCTAACTTTTTCTTTAAAAGTCCCGCAATCACAACGGCGACGTCTTTAGACTCTTCCTCTACTCCTAATGTTATTGTTAGCACTGCTGACCAAACATCTGCAATGAATCATACTACATTGACAAATGCTTTAGCTGTTCTCAACACATTCGCTTCTTCATTCCCTAAAAATGGATTTCATTTGCCAAGTATGCACAGTACTTCCAATATTAAACAATTAACTAGTAGTACCGACTCGAATACAGTTAAGACAGAACCAATCACTACTAGTACTACTATCACTGAAATTGATCCATCTATATTAATTTAATAAAAAGGTAAAATTAAATTCTTGGCTCTTTTCATTCTTTAATCTCCTTAAGTTTAAGTTGATATAACTGTTCGTATTTTGAATTGTAGTTTTAAGAAATAGACTATAATCTTCAGGCCGATAACTAACGTGACAAAACCACCAATCAGAATATCGATTTCTATAGCTTTCTCCATTACTCAACCAACGACATACCAACTAGCACTATTAGCGTTGATTCACTTCTAAATCCTTATTGGTCTTTGATTCAGTAACTTTTCTCCTTAGCTTGACTGTTGAGTCCAGAACACAGTAAACACCCTCCATTATGGAAATATTATATTTCAAACATACGTAGTTTATACACAGACACACGTGACCACATTACATCATAAAACGATAAGTGACAATTATGATATGATCAAGCCAAACAGTGGCTGTGAGTAGGGTAGACTTTAAATAACAAACTGTCAAGAGATTAAGAATAGTAGATCATATAACAATAGTTAATAGGTCAACTGAGAGCTTATGATAAAAGAAATATAAGTATCCATATATATTCCACATGTAAGTTTTCATTATTTACTGGAATATTGTTGGTGCTGGCTTTACACTAAAACGGTAATCGGATAAATTGAGACCGTGGTAATTATTAATGGTTAGGAAGTCCTTTGAAACTTTGTCAACTCTCACTCGTAAGTTTTAAATGAACTAATTCGGAAAAATAATGTCCACCGTTTGGTTTACCAAATAAGTCATCTGGTAAGGGTAGTGGATATGAATGATTTGGTAAAACACTATTTAATTCAGTTGAAAAGCCTGTACAGAGACAAATACTTCCGTTTGCGTCCTGAATTACTACAATTTGGGCTGAGTTGTATGACAACGAGACTCTAGTCAGTTTAATTCATTGTCAACTCTATCAATGGGCGCATATGGTACTTGACGTTTTAGACGAAAGATGGACTTCTCATCTTGTCGTAAGTATAATTTTGCTTTGCTAATTTTGCAGCATCCCAACTTATTGTGGAACAAGTCTGTATGTTTCCATAAAAGGTCTTCTATCGTCATGGCTTTCTTAATGACACGAACGATGGGCAGACCTCTTTGACTATTTGAACTTTTCATCGTGCATATTTCGCTCAATAGTACACCTCATAGAATTTGTTTGTCTATACAATCTATACCAAGAAGGTCCAAATCGTGTGTGTTCATTAAATAATTTCCTGTGAAGTAGTTATTTCGGAATTCAACAGAACATTTTGTTTTTCTAACAAGCTTTAATATATCTCCGGATACATCCAGAGTTGTATTCGGTCGGTAATACTTATAGACAACCAATTAAATTTCATATCATTTTAGAGTCTCCCTACTCACAACCACTATTTGGCTTGATCATATCATAATTGTCACTTATCGTTTTATGATGTAATGTGGTCACGTGTGTCTGTGTATAAACTACGTATGTTTGAAATATAATATTTCCATAATGGAGAGTGTTTACTGTGTTCTGGACTCAGCAGTCAAGGTAAGGAGAAAAGTTACTGAATCGAGAACCAATGAGGATTCGGAAATGAATCAAGGTTAATAGTCCTGGTTAGTGTGTGGTTGGTTGGTAATGGAGAAAGTTATAGAAATGGACATTCTGATTAGTGCTTTTATCACATGATATCAGTCAGGAGTTGTAAGATATAACAAAGCAACAACCACTGAATACCTATTAATTCAGATAGTGTGATGTATGCTATTTGTGTGTTTGGACATAAGTAGTATGTTGCACTGATCATGAGTGGAATACCTGGCAACAGAAGACTAAGAAGATCTAATTGAGAAAAATAGAAAGGAATTGAGAATCGGAAGAATCATACAGAATATGAATGGCAATTGATGAAACACTTGCAAATGAAGTATTTAATGTATGCTATGATGGGTAATGGTTAGCAGTGGAATCCATTTTGACTTGCATCTCCTAACGTTGCTCCACTAAGTTATGGATCAGACCTTTAGGTCAAAGGCTCCGGCTGTGGCCCCCTAAGGAAACCACCTACTTCGATTCGAGCACCCGGTCAGTATCCCAGCCCTCCCATAAATCAAATGATTTATATGGCGTATATCTATTTGATACCTTCTTGTACCCATGTTTATGTGTTTAAATCAAATAAATAAAAGCACAGAATGTTTTTAACTAGGTTGTCACTAGTGTATAAACCACAGATTACTTGAAGCACTACTTAAAGTTCTAATCCATGGAATGGAATGTTGAATCCAAGTTTTTATTAAATTCCTTACAACATAATAGAAATTCATAAACCACATTACCAGATGTTGTTGTTGTTTTTTTCAATTTTTTTATCATATATAGATTTATCCAAGATTTTCACGTATCCTATAGGATCTACTATTCCAGGATCCAGGATCGTTTTCTCAATCAGACACTTATTTGTTCAACATTTATCTACATCATTTTTGTGTTCTTGCTTCTTAAAAAAAAAGTAACAGATAACTTCTTTACACTTATCCCTTATAATACATTCAGCTTAATTATTAACAAATTGTAATTCAATTCACCATTGTACAAATCTTTGTTTAATCTCTTTGTACATTGAAAATTAAAAGAATTAATGGAATTGCTTTATTTTTGACCCTGAAGCGTATAGACTAACGGTACATGCATAATGTTATGATTTAATCTCTATGTATATCCTACTAACTATTAACCTTCTTATTGTAGTTCATTTATATGCTAAAACGATCGATAACCCCAAATCATGAAGATCAGTGCATTGAACTAATTCTGTTGTTATTATCACACTTCAAATGCACATTAGTCAATCTAGTCAGCTACAACGTAGGACCAGGAATATATATGCATCGATCCAAGTTGCCATACCTCATTAGCATAATAAGATGAACACCGAATTCATAGAAGTACTTAATTCAATAGTGGTAATATATAAAAGAAAGATTGCATATAACGATATAGTACAGGAGGAAAGAATTTGTTCATAGAAAGAATCTCATAGTTCAAGGGAAGGTATTCATATACACATTCAACACTAGTTCAGTCAGTCGTAGCATGTACATAACTAAGATCTTTTACGATTAGTAAACAATAATTTCTAATTGAGGAATAAAGGAAGCATACGATTAGGACATTAGAATAATATAGGTTAACATTTTACTAACCATGCATTGACAATCGCTGATTTAGTGGAGAATAGCATGCAAAGTTTCACATTTTCATTTATTTGCCTAATTATAACACAGAACTACCTAAATAGAAGTAAATGGAGCATTTTCGATATTAGTGGTTGAAAGTCAAGATTGTAGATACACTTTGTTGACGAATATCAACCAGCGAAAAGCCTAAATTTAAGATTTTCTGTCAACAACATTCAGCATCAAAAAGTAGTGCACACAATATCGAATATTTAGTTCGCACATCACAATAAGCAGATAGAATTCGATCAGTAATAAGGTCTAGATAAACATGTCATTAGTAATTGGTCAGTTATAAACATCTCAGTTCTATAGTTCAGTCACGGCCCAGACTGCTCGTGGAAAATGTCTCAGATTGTGTTGGTGGTTCAAATCCCACAAAGATCATCAGTTTCTTCGTGGTTTTAGTTGTGATTTGGTGACAAATGTTAGGTAGTAGACAACTTGGTGAAGCAGGCTATCCTACCAACTACATCCAACCGCCTTACATATGAACTATTGTTTATACTCAACTTTAGCAGACTGTCATATGATATTAAGCCATGATGATGTAATAGAAGGATTACGTAATAAGGATAATATCAATAGACTTAATAAGTTAGTAACGAATTATGACAAAGCAAACGAAACACCGCAAATCGAAAAACAGCCAAGTGATGTTAAAAATCTCATAATCACCGCAGACTTATATGGTCATATACGTCTAATAGGTTTGATAATCCCGCGCTTATACGGATTACCGAAAGTACATAAACCTGGTTTAATGTTACGAACTATTTCGAATACATCGAATTCACCTAATCCCCAAATGGTTGGGTGAAGATGGAAACCAGTTAGAAGGCAAGTATCTAAATATTCTGTTCATGGTACCCTTCAATTTACTGATAGTATTAAAGAAGTTAATGCTTCTGGAAAACTCATGTTCTCACTTAACGTTAGTTCTCTATTCACTTGTGTACTTACGCCTGTTACTCCTAATGGAGCATAGGCCGCCCACCAGCATTCTCCAACCCACTCTGTCCTGGGCCTTCTTTTCTAGTTCCATCCAATTCTTGTTCATTTTCCTCATGTCTATCTCCATCTCCCGGCGTAACGTGTTCTTTGGTCTTCCTTTTTTCCTTTGGCCTTGAGGATTCCATGTGAGGGCTTGTCTTGTGATGCAGTTGGGTGCTCTCCTCAATGTGTGTCCTATCCACTTCCAGCGCTTCTTCCTCCGCTGGGATCTGGTTTGTTCTTTCCCACAGTTGGTTGTTGCTAATAGTGTCTGACCAACCAACGGATCCGAAGTATTTTGCGTAGACAACTGTTAATAAACACCTGTATTTTCTGGATGATGGCTTTTGTAGTTCTCCAGGTTTCCGCCCCATACAGTAGAACTGTCTTGACATTTGTATTAAAAATAATGACCTTGGTGTTGTAAATATGCTGCTCTTGCTTTGCCGATTTGCGCCTTCACATCTGCATCAGATCCACCGTGTTCATCAATGATGCTGCCCAAATATGTAACGGCTTTTACATCTTCCAAATCTCCGTCAAGTGTGATTCGATTGGTACATGCTGTGTTGTATAGGGAAATCTTGCTTTTCCGTTTGTGTATATTGAGACCTACTACTGTTGAGGCTGCTGCTTCACTGGTCGTCTTGTCCTTAATTTGTTGTTGCGTTTGGGATAGAAGAGCCAGATCATCTGCGAAGTCTAGATCATCCATCTACATCCTAGATGTTCATTGTAACCCATGCCTCCCCCCAGATCTTGACGTCTTCATGATCCAGTCGATCACCGGGAGAAAGAGTGAGAGTAGGCAATCTTTATTGAAACCGGTCTTTGCCTTGGACGAGTCTGTTTGGTGTCCTCCATGCATGATTTTGCAGTTTAATCCATCATAGGAATTCCGTATGATATTGAATATCTTCGCAGGCACGCCATAGTATTGAAGAAGCCTCCATAGTGTTGTCCTGTCCGCGCTATCAAATGATTTTTCGTAGTCAATGAAGTTGATGTAGAGTGATGAGTTCCATTCAATTGATTGTTCCATAATGATCCGTAGAGTTGCGATTTGGTTTATACACGATCTATCCTTACGGAATCCTGCCTGTTGGTCTCGAAATTGGGCGTCTACGGAATACTTCATCTTGTTTAACAATACCCTATTGAAGACTTTTCCCGGAAATGAGAGAAGGGTGATACCCCTGTAGTTATCACTTGTGTACCTTTAACTGAAATTACATGCTATTTATGCGAGTATATCGGTCATAACAACATAGATATAGGCCTATCAACTGACCACTTGAAAGAACTATTGTTACACTGCACTTTTAATGCCCAGTTCTGTTTCAACAATGAAATCATATGGACATAGAGATAGGGACTCTATTGTGTTCAATATTACTAGACTGTTTTATGGCGAAACTCAAAAACAACCAACTTAGTTTGATCTAATCTATACGTAAGACTCAAGGACGACATATTTGTGACGATAATATTGAATTAACATTTAGTTTACACTCTAAGTCATGCCACGTTAAATAAAGAGGCAGGTCAACCAATCTCTTCTCAATGTGCGTCTGACGAGAAGGATTGGTTGTTCCTCAAAAAGATCCATTTTTAGAAAACAAACATGGAATGGTCAGCTGACCAACTTCTATAGCTGGGTTCCTGGAAGCAGAAAGAGGAATTTCATTCACTCTTTGTTACCGAATACAACGGATGTGTAGTGCGGAATGCATTGACGAAGATCTTGCATTCCTCAGAAAAGCGATTATCCAATCCGCTTCATAGAAAAGAATATGAGTGGATGTAGCGACAAGGAGTCCGGCTTTTCCATTTCAAAGAAATACCTTTACACAAATCTGGAATTTAAAGGTAACCGAATATATGATATAACTAAAAATCGGTTAACGGCAGCGATAAAAATAACATTCTATTCAGCGAAACTGCGAATAACATTCGCTAGTAAGAACTTGTTTTCTGTATCCATAAAAGATAAGTTTTTCCGTCTAGTCGCCACCATGTGCATCTACCAATTCACCTGCTCTTGTGAAGCAAGGTACATTGGCCGTATGCAGCGCTCGCTTTCAACTCAGATACCGGAACATGTCCCAATGTGGTTCTAAAAGAGTGATAGGGAAGCAGTTAAACTTCCACTCTTGAACATTTAATCGACTCTAATCATTCTACTGATCCATAGGTTGGTTTTAAGGTTGTGTATGAGATTCATCCAAGTCTACCTAGAATTCTTCGTATCCAACTCTTTAAGATAGCAGAAGCCTTTATTATCCATGATCTCAAGCCAAAAATTCTGCGTACAAAAGAAGTACATCCTATCGTTTGACTTATCTCATAGTCGCATGATTTTATTGATTATTGTTCATGATATCACTTCATTTATTGCTCACACCTCTATTACCTTTATCAAACTGTTAAAGTACTAGTTCCAATAAGAACATATGAACAAGGAATAATCATGATGATGTCATAGAAAGATCACAACACTAGATTGCGCAATAAGAATAATGACAATAAACTTAATAAGTCAGTAAAGAATTATAATGTGAATACAGTAAAATGATTAAAATGTCTTTCAATAGTTGAGATCATGAGTCAATTGAAGCTAGATCACCTTAGAAAACTTGGAAGCACTGGACGGTCATTTCGTCCTATTGTGGGACTCCTCACCAGTGCGCATCCACGATCCCATTCGGGGGATTAGAAACCAAAACCTAAAATGTTCTTGTTACAATAATTAAAGGTTATATATTATAATTCATTACTGACTTATTGTCATTATTCTTATTACGTAATCTAGTACTGTAATTTTTCCTATTACATCATCATGATTATGTCTTGTTCATATGTCCTTATTGGAACTAGTACTTTAACACTTGATATTGTTTTACTTGAATCTTCCCATTGATGTTTTAGGACTGAAATTGATCAGTTTCTTATTGGCATATGTGCATACTGTGAGTATGCCTCGATATTGCCTTAATTTACAAGCATTATAAGCAAAGATGGATAGTGGCTAGCAGTGGAATCCAGGACGCGCGTTTCGTCCTGTTTGGGACTCGTCAGCTGGATGTACCTGCATCTCAGAGTTGATGTTCACTCTGGGACTCGAACTCAGTACCGTTATGTACTGCTAAGTGGATAACGCGAAGGCGTTTGAAGCGAACGGTACTGAGTTCGAGTCCAAGAGTGAACATCAACTCTGAGATGCAGGTACATCCAGCTGACGAATCCCAAACAGGACGAAACGCGCGTCAAACTGGATTCCACTGCTAGCCACTATTCATCTTTGCTTATAGTACTTTAACAGTTTGATAATGAATTCATTGAAAAGAGATCCCTTCATTGAACTTCATGTTTTCAATATTTCAAACGATAAAAGAACAAGTTGAATACACATTTCATTTATATAATTTTTATTATAAATGTGAAATATACAAGTTCATATGTTTTAACCACGTTTTTTTGTCATTTTTTTATGTTTTTGTTTTAATTTACGATAATTTAAACGAATTTGTTTAGCTTTATTTGGTGTAGC